TGTTTCAGGACCGACATCTTGTGCTGAATATTGTCACCTCTTATCATGCGGCACTGGCAGAGTCACTCCAGCTTGCGTTCGGAGTGGATGTCACTTCGCCTCCGTTCCATAAGCTTTTCGTACTTTTTTCCACCTCCGGCCTGCTCATGCCCTGCCTGAGCCATCCTGGTCATTGGACCGGGTGCCCTCTTTCCACTTTTCTCCTCAGTTTGTTGTGGCCCTTTTGGTCTAAGATTGTTTTCAGGATGCTTTGTTTCTGTTGGCCTTGGCCTCTGGGGGTCGGGTCGGTGAGCTTCATGCTCTCCTCCAACACAGGGGTTTCTGCTCTTTTGGCCCTGGTGGTCGTTTTGTTCATTTGCAGCTGTCTCCATTTTTTTTGCTGAAGAATGAGACAGCGGGCTTCTGGAGGGCAGAAGTTTCTTTCACCCTATGCCCCTGTTACCTAGCAGTAAAATAGGTACCTGGGTGTTAGTCAGCTGTTACGGGCTGCTTCCTGGGGGTGGAGGCCTGGTCGAGGACCGGGCCGCGGGGACACTAAAAAACCCCGAAATCATCTCAAGATAACTCAAGAAGGGGTCCATGGCTTATTGATGCTTGGTTGGTCAGGCCGGGGGTGCATTATGCTTTGTGTCCGGTTGTGGCTTTATGACATTACCTGCGTGCCTCGGGTTTTGTGTCCAAGGACGTGCTTTGAGTTGATCTGATTTCTCTCGTTCCCTGTTCCAAGACTTGGATCTCCCAGGTCGTCCGCAGAGCTATCAGGTCTAGCGAGCCTGCGGTCTACCCTCGTGCCCATGATGTTCGGAAGTTTGCGGCTCTTGCTGCTGTCTTTGGTAATATGTCTTGGGCTGATATTCGGGCACAGGGGTTTTAAAGATCGAACAGGGTCCTGGTCACCTGTTATCTTGTGAACGTTTTGGACCCTCAGTGGCCTTGTGTGGCCTTGGGCCATCGGTTGCAGCCAGTTGTCCTGTTTTCGTCATGAGGCACACGGTACTGCTGTCTCCCAGGTAAGTCCCTCTTTTATTTATCCAGGGAGCCGACAGGGTTCCCCACAGAAAACCAGCAATGAGTGTAATGAAACGCTAGTTTCTGGGTGACCCGCGGAGGCTCCCTGGCACCCTCCCTCCCTTCGGTCGGCAGTTTTTGTTTTCATTTGCCCAATCTCCAAACTGGTGGGCAAACAGGCGGCTCGAATGGGCGGGGTAAGGGGGGTGAACGTGTGACGTGTCGTTTAGTGACTATTTGCTTGTTGCCTTGTTTTCTTGGAGGGAGTTCTTGGGCTCTCTTCGGTCTTGGTTTGCTATTGTAAGTCCCAGACTAATATAGCATCTATTAGCCCAATAACTCCAGGGAGCCTCCGGGGCTCACCCAGAAAATGGCATTTCATTATATTCAAGGCTGTTTTTTTACCTAATTAACATATTTCTTACCTTGATTCAAACAACTGAAGTTAGAGTTATATCTAAATGTTTATGAAAAGTAAAGTTGATATAAAAAAAATCTATTTCCAGGGTGGAAGAAGAGATGAGGCTTCAGCGTAGTGTAGGCGATCTACAGATGGACTCTAGTCGACGTGGATCAACTTCAGCCAGACGTTCTTTCTTCAAACGCAAAAAACATTCCCGGTCATCTTCCAGGGACTCAAAAGAACTTGCAAGCTTTTCTGATGCTTCCCTAAATTCCTACACTGAAACTGCACCCATGCATGACGAACCCTCTCCACACTCTTACATTAGAGTGGAACGACTTGACTGTAAGTCAGAAATGCCAAAAATTCAGGCTGTTATGCATTAAACTGAGACTCTTTCAGAGTTATTTTTCCACAAATGTTCCCTTGGGTGACAGTAAGTTAAAAGGTGAAGTAATGTTCAGTGTTGGAATAGTGTCAGGCTTTATTTATTTTGATGTTTTCCGAAGGGGCTGAATGGTGGTGGTCTGTGACTGGCTTGCTAAGGTACTTCCAAACACAACTCACATCAGCCTTCAGCTTCAGCTTAGACTATAATAAACAGTGATAGGGTGAATCAAAAGGAACAGTGATACAGTGATACTTAGACTATAGTGAACAGTGATATGGTGAATAGTGAACGGTAACAAAACAAGCATAAAGGCTTGAATGTGTTGGTAAATTGTCACGTGAAAAATTTGGAATGTATGAATCAGTGAATAGTGAGGCAACAAACACACCAGACTGTGTATAGGGGCCACGAGGCTTGTGTACACACTCGGTAGGCCATGAAGGGTCGCTCCCCCCCCCACCCCCCCTTTACCACTGGTCAACAACCACCCACTGCCTACCACCACCACCACTGATCATTATGGTCAGAATGCCTTTAGTAAAGATGTGCACAGAATGCAAAAAAGGAAGTAGATTACCACCAATGCTTCCAGTGCCAACTATGTTCAGCAGCCATACACAGTAAATGTGCCAATATGTCAAATAATGCCAGGAAAATTGGTCCCAGAGACCACTCGGTGTACTGGTTCTGCAAAAAGGATAATATTACTGTCTTGAAGATGATCGCAATTCTGGATAAAACCCCAGCAGAGCACAGAGAATCACTTCTAACAGCCTGCACGGAAATCTCCAATGTTTTCAAACAAATTGTCAAGGACACCCAGGCAGAACCAGAATTGGAGCTACATCTCAGCGCGTCGGGGCCGGATGCGACGTTGGCGGCGGGGCCGGATGCGACGTTGGCGGCGGGGCTGGATGCGACGTTGGCGGCGGGGCTGGATGCGACGTTGGCGGCGGGGCTGGATGCGACATAGGCGTCAGGGCCGCATGCTATGCTGGCGCCGGACGCGACGTTGAGGTCGGGCGCGGTATCAGCGCCTGAACTGGGCATGATATTGGCGCCAGGGTTTTTGAAACAAACAAAACAAGGACCCAGAATCTGCCGATATTATATATGGGGTATCTGTAAGCAAGGGATATCGGGGAGAACAAATGGACTATGTAAATATGATCATCCCAGAAAGTGCAGGACCCTTCGTAGTACAGGTAAATGTACCAAAAGCTGTGATCTCTTTCACCCAGAACTGTGCAAGAACTCTTTAAATAAAAATGAATGTTTCAATACACAAGGTCCAGCTTTTCATATAAAAGGTCCCAAGCGAATAAGACTGACAAACCATCTCGATGAAAGCAGCCACAACACTATTTACCAGGATGATTCTAGCAAGAGGAGAAGAATGGCTAAAAATGTCCAAACTCTACCATCAACTCGGTCAAATGCTAGAGAGGACGCAAACACAGTGGCCTCCTTACCAGAGCCTCAGATATTAACACCAAATAAAGCATCCAGCACTTCCACATACATAACATCATTTTTATTTGCTAACATTCAGGGTATAAAAACACGCAAATGTAACAAAGTGCACTTCATAGATGGCCTCTTACATGAGGCAAATGCAGTGTTTGCAGCCCTAACGGAAACTCACACCAAGGATTACCATGATGGTGAAATATGGATTTCGGAGTACAATCTTTTCAGATGTGACAGGAAACACAGGCTACAGGGTGGGGTCAGCCTCTATATCAAGGACACACTCATCTATACTGAGCTGCTAAACACCACAAATGATATGGTGGAAGTGCTAATAATCAAAATAGAGATCTTAAATGTAGTTATTGTCCTTGTATATAAGTCACCGGAGGCACATCATCAGCAGTTTAAAGACCAACTAATGAAAATAGAACACTGCTTGGAAAACCTCACAAATCCAGCCCCAAACATCATCCTGCTTGGGGACTTTAACCTATGGCACCTTAAATGGAAGACCATAGTTGATACGGTTGTATCAGAGAGAATTCCGGGAAGTAGCCTAAATGAACAGGCACATACAAATGACCTGCTACGGATGTGCGACAGGTTTGCACAAAATATAGGCATTCTAAAACAAACCAACCCCACTTGGTAGGAAATTGCAATGCAAGACTGAACAGAGAAACAGAACTCCCCCAAAAGAAAACAAGTAAATGTCATCCGCCGCGCTGCTTGTCCGCACAGCTCTCCCTTCCCCCATGATGGTTAGGGGAAGGGCCAGACCCCTGCGCAGGCTGCCCCCACTTCAGTTCATAGACTGAAGAGCTCTGGGGGCGGTTGTCAACTCTGGCCTCAGTTTCCTGCTGGATATTGTGGCATTGTGGTGTTTTCCTGCTGTTTGTGGCACATTGGCCAGGAGTAATATAGTGTACTGGAGCTGCCTTCCCTAAGCATCCTGTAAGTACTGTTCTTGGGTTCTAGAGTAGCCTTTCCTATGGCCTTCGGGACTTCACTTCCATAAGGGTTCCTGCTGCTCAGCATTTACCCCACCCTTGGGACCAGCTGGTGTTATGTGGCCTTTGTTTGGCTCTGGGTAGGGAGTGTTGGTGTTACTGGTTGGGGCACATGTTGCTGCACAGCTCGCCTTCCTAGCGGCGGCCGTGTTTCCTGTTCCTCCTTTTGTTGTTGTGCTTTTGTGAGGTTTTCTTTTTTGTTTCTTGCATGGAGGATGTCTGCCAGGTTTGACCATTAGTCCACCTAGGGTATTTGCGGTGGGTTTGTGGTTGCAGGGGGGGGTTCTTACCCCCCTCCCTTCCCTGTACAAGTTTGATTTGGGGGCGGCTCTTCCCCAGGTTTGGTTCCGGGTTCCCCTGGGTTCCTCGGCTCCCTCTTTTTAGAGGTTTTCTGCCTCTTGCATCCTGCCTAAGGAGGTTCGGGATGTTCTTGCAGCTTACCTCCGGCGAGATCCAGATTTTGCCTCTGTGATGGATTCGTCCTCGTTTGAGTACAATCCTTCTTCCCTGTATTGGGTGTGTTATGAAGTTCCAGAGTCTTCCTGGCTAGCAGACTGCCCTTTCTTTTCTCAGGGAGCGTGGCACGGGTTTTGTCGAATCCCATGCCAGCCTGCAGAGTCTACCCTTGGGCCCATGCCATGATGCTTGCATGGGCTCAGGAGTTTTGGAGGTTTAATAAGGTCCTGATGGCATGTTAAGGGGTCAGTGTTCCTGGTGCCCCAGCTGACTTGTGTTGCCCTGGGTTGGGCTTCCCATCCCAGATTTTCTTCTGAGACTGTAACCTATGCAATCCTTCTCCCTGGTAAGTCCCATTTTTTCCTTGTGCTGTGTGATTAGTTAGCAAGGAGCTACCATTCAGCCCCCTTCCAGAAAACCAGGAATGATTATAATGAAATGCCTCTTTCGGGCTGGGCCCCAGTGGCTTCCCTCCCCGCCCGCCTCTTCCAGACCAATTTATGAGTTTTATGTGGGCAACTATCACTTTTACATTTAATTGCAAATTGTTAGCACCAAAATCATCATGTTTCTGAGCTGTACCAATCAGTTGCTGTGTTATGCAAAATCCTCCTGTTCCCATGGACAGAGCTATACGTACGTTCTGTTGATTTCGGGGATCAACGTCCCTGTAGCCCGGTCTGACCAGGCCTCCTGGTTGGTGATCTAGTCAACCAGACCAGATGAGTAAGCCAAAATTCTTTGACAGGGATCCTCTCCATTATTTCTGTTGGGCCATGCAAGCTCAAGCAAGACGCTGGAGAATACTCAATCTAGTAGAGAACATCAAGAAGGATCATCAAAGTACATTATCTTCAAAACCCTGCCTAGCACAAGTTAGCATCAAAGAGATTGCCAAGGGTAATGACACCTACATATCATAATGATACCCTGAATGCCCACCCTACATTTGTTATGTGTGTAATTAGGCTGGCAGAGACCAAAACAATTCAGTTAAAGTGACATGTTTTATCCTTAGAAACTTGTTAATATCTTATGTAAATGTTTACTTTTATCTCTTCTATTTTTTAATCTGCCATGATGCAGTAGTGACAACCCAAAACATTGTAATTTGTGATTTAATCTTTGTTTAATTTCAGATTTGGTGCGACGTCCTGTGGTGATGGTAGGACCTCTGTGGGAGCTTGTGTGTGACAAATTGGTGCATGATTATCCTCATAATTTCACGAGATGTGTGCCAGAAGTGAGCCGACTATCCAGTGCAGAGATGGAAGCAGCTGTTCAGAAGAATATAATAGTTGATTATAGACGTCGTGGCTCACATTTTGAGGCAACAACTGTTAGTCAAGTAAAAGAAATTTGTGACAAGGTGAGCTATTAATTTTAATTTGTTAGATGTTGCATTCAGACGATCAACCCCCTCCCCACTCTCCCTATTGTTTATCGTCTAGGATAGCTATAGCCCTTCCAGTGTCCTCCGTCCTGTAGTCTCGTTTTCTCCTGGACCTTGTATACAGTCTGTTGAGCGCAACTATGTTATCAAACCCTAAGCATGTGGCCACTGGCTATCAATGGCTTTTTGCATCTATCTTATCATTATCCACCTATCTCTGACATGAATTACTAGGGAGTAGGAAAATGGATCATTAATTTCCTAATGAACAGAATCCAGAGTAATAATCAACAAAGTAAAATCTGGATCATTCATCATGAAAAGCTCAGTCCTCCAAGTTACTGTCCTTGCTCCAGTACGTTTTCTCATTCTCATATCGGATATAAACAAGGACACAAACTGTAGTACCATATCATACTTTGCAGATGACACTAGGATTTTTCATGAGATTAAACAATATAGAGGGCACAGCAAACCACCTAACTGATAAAAATCAGGTCCTTCAATGGGCCACAGAAAATAACATGATTTTAATAGAGACAAGTTCCAGCTCATGCATATGGTATAGATAAAATAGCAAAACAGAAACCACATGTATAATGCAGTCAAATCACACTATAGAAAGAAACGGCACTATAAAAGATTTGGAAGTAATCACGTTGAAAGACCTTTTAAAAACACAATAAAGTAGCTGTCAGTACAGGAAAAATGACAGGCTGGATAATAAGAACCTTCTAAACAAGAGATGCTGGACCAATGATACATTTTATGACATCCTAGTGTCATAAAAAGTACTCTCATGCTGTCTAGGTTGGAATATTGTTGCACATTATCACCCCCATTCAAAGCTGGAGAACGTTTCTGTGTGTTCCAAAGATCAAAGTCCTTATGGCCCAGTCTCGGACCAGCTCCAGTTGATGGTCTGGCCAACCAGACTGTTAGACACAACTGCTTGCAGTCTGATGTATGAATGATCAGGTATTCTTTGGAGGTGTTTATCAAGTTCACTTTTGAACACCACGAGTGATCTGCTAGTTATGCCCTTTATTTTAAGAGGAAGAGTGTTGAAAAGTCTTAAGCTCTTAATGTTGTTAGAATTCATTCAGTAAGAAATGTAAAGTTACTAATATTGCTTAAAATTTCTAAATCAGTATTCTCTAGAGTGCAAGGAAGAGAATTTATATCTGTACATAGAAATAATAAGCCTTAGCCCAAGGCCAGGCTTGGAGAGGAGGAGAACTCCCAATAGCCTCTTTAAGTATACTCCAGGTACAACTCTTATAAGCCAAGGAGGCATAACAAGAAGTGCAAAATTGCCTCATTGACAACCAGAGGTGCAATAGGTGCAATGCTCTGAACTATTCTATTAACATTAGGGCTCAAGACTTTAGTACACATAAGAAACATAACTGTCCCGATGTTCAAAAGAAAACTTGATAAATGCCTCCGAAGGATACCTGATCATCCAGACTATAACTCATACATCAGACTGCAAGCAGCAGCACCTATCGGCCTGGTTGACCAGATCAATAACCCGAAGGCCAGGTCACATATTGGGCTGCAAGGACATTGATCCCTGGAATTGGCACAAAGGTAAACACGAGGCAGGTAGCATTGTCAATTTGCCCTTGTTCCATTCATTATTAGGTGCTTTAGAAGGTACCTTGGTATCCAATAGTTTTGACCCCTTCCCCTTTTCCCCCCAATTCTTCCTTTACATGGAAATCCTTCATTATCCACTCAGTTTTCCTGTCATTAAAATCACAAAAATGTTCTTGTCATTCAAACTCATAGCTTTACTTTCGTTATACTCTGCCACTTTATGAAAATGCTAAAAGAAATCATGAAAAATTTAAATAATTTGAATTTTAACCAAATAAGTGATTATAATGAATTCCAGCATATTTACCGTATTGAAATTTGTGCCAGTAATGTTTGAGATTGAGAAGTGAACTGTTTATCACCCTTTGTCTCTGTATCACCCTTTGTTGCTGTATCACCCTTTGTCACTGTATCACCCTTTATCACTGTATCACCCTTTGTCACTATCACCCTTTGTCACTATCACCCTTTGTCACTATCACCCTTTGTCACTATCACCTTTTGTTACTATCACCCTTTGTCACTGTATCACCCTTTATCACTATCACCCTTTGTCACTGTATATTAGTCATAAAAAACATGCATTTTACTTTGGTAATTACATAGACTTTATTGCTACCTAAGTGTAGTTAATGGATGAACCCAAAGCTCAGTGTTTCATCTTCCTTATAATACATGTAAAACTCTTCAGGACATTTGATAATACTGTAGATGTTGAGATGGCAGAAGCATTTATAATGTTTCTGCCTAGTGTGCATTGCACCATTGTGCCTTGAGTGGACACAAATTGATTCAACATCAATAGACTCAGAATTATGTAAGAATTACCAGCAGAGTTTTCAGTAAATAGATATACAGATATATGCAATGTTTTGAATGCTCAGCTTATTATGGTATGTTATGTACATAAGAAAACATAATAATTCTTCCAAAATGCATACTCCTCATATAAAGTCAAAGTTGTAATGGGCAGTAGGAAAACTAAACATCATGTAATTCACACTTATTTACCCCCCCCCCCACCTCATGCAATAACTAGAACAGTTTCACATGGTTTGGCAAGAAAAATATATCACAGTAATTATAATCATAATTTATTTTCAGAGTTGTCATGGCATTCTGGATATCAGTCTTGGTTCTGTAGAGCGTTTACACAGACACAACATTTACCCAATAGTATTGCTGCTCAAGTTCCGACACCATAAACAAATTCGGGAAGTTTGTGATTCGCACCATCCCGCTGCTGAAAGGATCTCTCAGAAAGAAGCCAAAGAAATGTATGAACTTGCTGCAAAAATGGAACAAGAATATAAGCATGTCATTTCAGGTACGTATATTAACATTGTCCACAGGGTGTGTTCCATGTCAGAAGTTCAGTATTTGGGTAATGATGATATAGTGACAGATAAGTATTAGCTTAACACTTGTGTTCTGCAGGTTAATATCAAGAGTAAGTGTAGCATTGATGCTTCACAGAATGCTCTCAACATGTATATATACCTATGACAAGATATTTACTGTAATGGTTACTGCTGTCATCAGTAAATAACTCGAGTGCAAATAAGTTACTGAAAAAATCCCACTTTTTTAAATATGAATACTGTACTGTATATCTATCATGAATACTGTAACCCAAAAGGGGGCGGGGGGGGGAGAGAATTATGTCAATAAAAATAATTTTGTAATAGTACTGTACTGTAATTTTACTACTACCTGTTGAGCCTGTTGTCTGACCAGGCCTCCTGGTTGCTAGTCTGATTAATCAGGCTGTTTGATGTGGCTGCTTGCAGCCTGACATATGAGTCACAGCCTGGTTGATCAGGTATGTTACTGTTATAAGAAATGTAGCATTTCCATAATCTCTCAATTATCAGGCCTGTTAGGTATGATTAGGTATCTTACTGTACGTAAAACTTTTAGCATTTCCAGAATCTTTCAGTTATTTTCTTTCTTTAGTATAAAGTAAGGTTTGAACCCTCATCACGTCCCTTGTGAATTTGTTCATCTAGATAGATCTTTAAATATTTGCAAAGCATTCTTAACTTTGTGCTTAGAGAAAAAAAAAAGAGATATATCATTACCAGTGATAGGAAAGAGTTATTGTCTTCTGAGGTTATTAGGAGTTAGTTCTGAGAAATTATTAAATTTTTATTGCAAGGAATATACTAAATTGTTTAATATTTATTTCTCTTGCAGCTGTTATTCCTGCTGCTGTCAACATGCCTTACATTAGTACACAGGTCAAGTCATGTGTGGACCAAGAACAGTCTAAAACACTCTGGGTGCCATCAGGAAGCCTCTGAAATCTAAAGATGAACACCAAAATCAGGTTTAATGATACACAGTCAAAATTAATCAAATTTGTATTATATTTGACATGATCTGATTTTGGTGTTTGAAAATTTTAAGTTTAGGAGGTGGAGTGTGAGTGTCAGTGTTTCCAAGCCATATTTACTGCTGCTTTTCCTTACATTGAGAGTTCCAGAATTTAATATTTTAATTTGCTCGTGGAAATATTTTATATTTAAGCTGAAAGAAGATTTTTTGTTAATATATTTCATTATATTGTTATTGGACCAAGGTCAATAAGTACAAATATCACCTGATATGGTTATATTTGAGCTGATGATTGTTTTTTATGAAGTTACATTGTTTAAAAATGCAAGTTATTAATAATCTTTTTGAAAAGTTGTCTTAGATTCAGAGTATATCCTATAAATAAAGAGCAAGTTTGAGCAATTTGACAGCCTGAATGGCAGGTGTCTTCCCACATACCAAAGAGGCTTTAAGGCAATGGAGATGGGCAGGTAGTGTGAATGAGAATAAGCTATGGTGTTACATGTAGCATATTTCTCTGATAGCATCTGTTGTCAGTTTGACAATATTCCTTCTCACTTGTGCCTTAATGGAGCTGGTGAGTGGCCTGTGTTTGTTCTAGTATCAATAAATGGGGAGTGGAGGTGTACATGTTGCTGGCTTGATGTTGGCCTCTCCTGATCTCAGGTAATGACATTAGGCCTGGTTTTTATTTAACATTAAAGGTAGCATGTCATTATATGACAGTCTACCAGAAGCTTTATTTTAACATAAGGAGTCCCCCATCTACCAGACCTTTATAAAACACTTCACTAATTTGGTAAAGCTCAAGCAAATGTAGTAGTATTGAACTGCTAAAGATGCATCAGCATTCAAATTAAAATGAAGTGTTGTCAGCTGTGATTTCATGGTCATTGGTATTAGAGAAACCCTCGTGTCTTCCTCGTAGAGTGTTTGACAGTCACATTTAAGTTACCTAAAAGTGTTTTGGATGTATTCACACTCAAGTTCCACTTGATTTGTAAACTTCCATTCTGGTGCATCAAATAGAAGTTACTTAATATAGCTTTGTGTAATATCTTTTCCCATAGTATTTAAAAAAAAAAGTCTTCATATTCTATGTAAACTATTTATTTCATGTGTACATTCATTCATATTTAGAAGAAATAGTATACCTTATATATGTATATAAATATACAACCTATCCTCCAAAAATTATGAGACCTATTGTTACTATGGAAGAAATGCATAGCATATGGACAATTGTACCCAAAAAATCAGGTTTTGTACTAATGGAATATTATAAAGGGCCTATCAAAAAGTGAAATAGTAACAAACAACCAAATTTTAACTGTCCTGTAAGATAAGTAATTCTAGGCCTATCGAATGTAATCTTAGGTCTAATTTAGTGAGTGAGTACATAATTACCTAAATGTAGTTGCAGGATGAGAACTATGCTCAAGGTGTCCCATTTTACCAGCACTTCGTCGTATAACGCTTTGAAACTAATACCTGTTTTGGTTCCACCACCACCTCGCTTAACTTGGTCCAACTGTCTACCACTCTTTCCTTGAGGTTACCTAGAGGTGCTTCCTGGGCTTAGCGTCCCCACGTCCCGGTCGTCGACCAGGCCTCCTGGTTGCTGGACTGATCAACCAGGCTGTTGGACATGGCTGCTAGCAGCCTGACGTATGAGTCACAGCCTGGTTGATCAGGTATCCTTTGGAGGTGCTCTTGAGTGAATTTAAAAAAAAAATGGCAGCTTTGTTTAGTTAGCTTACAATCTTTGACCTCTTGTTCTTGAAATTCCAAGTCTCAAGAATCCTTCATAAATTTTATTGATTCCCATAACTATTTTGTACATAGTGTTCATATCACCTTTGTTTTTTCTTCTATCTTCTCACCTTGGCATATTTAGTGCCCCCTCTCCTCTTTTTGTAACTGTTGTTTTCAGGTCTGGAAGCCATTTTGTAGCATGCCTTTGTACCTTTTCCAGTTTATGATGTGCTACTTTAGATATGGTCATCATACTATTGCTGCATATTCCAATTTTGATCTCACAAATGTTTTCTAGACTTCTATATTATATCAAAATATATATTTAGTTTCCAAGAGGACATGGTGGCTCTTTCCCAAGGGAAGAAGGTACTGAATGTCAAATATCTCCTCGTTCCTGGTGAGCATTAAATCCAGCATTGATGGAATATCCCCCTTCCCTCATTCTCATTCTCATGGCCTAATTAATGTGTTGATACGTGAATTTCTCCAGGATGAGGTTTACAAATCTGCCTTAACAAATGTCCTCCATTTTTGGTTCATGTGCCTCCAAGTCTATTACTTTCAAGTTTAAGTCACCAGGTACCAACAACCGTGATTTATCTTTATCTGCTCTTATGGCCATTATGAGGCGCTCTCATTTGTCATCTAACCCCTCCTTTCTCCATACGTTGTTTGCTGGTGGTCTGTTGGCATATTTGATTATCATTTTTATCATCCCAATTCCAAACTTGCTGTGCCATTATGTCAACTTCTGTGACATTATAACACCTGGGTTGTCAATTATTAACTCTTACCTTCAGGTGCTCTTTCACTAGTACAGCAACACCTCTACCCTTCCTAATTTTTCTGTCATCTCCAAATTGAGTAGCCCCCTCAGGAATATGACCTACTGTTAAATATTTTCAAGTTTTGTTTCTGTTAGTGTGATAATCTTGCTCCTTATCTGAATTATAGTGTTTTAGCTCCAGTATTTTTTGTCTTGCTCCATCTATGTTAGCATATATATATATATGTTAGTACATATATACAAGTGTGTGTGCGTGTAATTACCTAAGTGTAGCTACAGGACGAGAGCTATGCTCGTGGTGTCCTGTCTTCCCAGCACTCTGTCATATAACGCTTTGAAACCACTGACAGTTTTGGCTTCCACAACCTTCTCATTTAACTTGTCCCAACCATCTACGTATGTGTATACACTATATTAGACTTAGGAAGTATATTTTTGGCTGTTCCCTTCAACTACAAAATGTTTCTTTTGGAGTGGGAAGGTACAACAGTCATTATTTTGAATTTTTACCCATAGTAAGTCTAACACTTAACACTTTCGCGCTCTCGGCGCTCAAAAAAAAACAATACCCCAGATGCTTTCGGCACTTCGCGCGCCTACGCGGTAAGACCGAAAAAGTGTACACTCTTTTGACTGTCCTGACAATAATTGAAGGCGCACGTATTTAAATTTGGTATCACTATGTTCGCAATGAAATTGTCTATAAGAGCATACCTATAAAATGCCGCCCAAGCATAAGGAGTATCAACACCAAATAAAAAACTATGCAGATCACTCGCCGAGAGCGCCAAACAGCAACAAAATGTTTCCACTCTCTTAATGGTTGCGAAGCCTACAGTTGTCCTACATCGCTAATTTTGGTATCATTGGAATCGCAATAAAATTCTCTACACGGACATATGCATATGAATGTTTAATATAGGTAATTGCCCACCCGCAAGAGTGTGTGAAGTGGAGAGTAGTTAGCCGCGAGCGCACTGGCGAAAACACGGGGGAAATCATGCTTGGAAAGTTTATACGTTTCCTGACCCTACTTTTCTATGTACGTATTTCTTTTTTATACCAATGTGTTCGCAATAAAATTTTCTATAAGATGAAATGTATAACATTTGTACAAAGCATGTGTAAGAGAAGCGCCAAATATAGAACCATGTCGCTCAGTATGCGTTCGCGGCAGAAACGAACGCATTGTTTTCGTTCGTTTGATGTTTGTCATGTTTATACTTGTTGAAACATTTTATAATTTGTATGACAGTGATCGCAGTAAAATTCCCTACACAGACATATACATAACACATACAAATATTTCCCACGTGTTGGATATATCAACGGCTAAAGGGAACCCACTGCCACACGCTCGCCACACCCCCAAACATACTTTGTGTATTTTTTTTTTTACTCATAGAAGTTTATGTGATATAATATTCATTCTGGTACCAAAAAATTCGCAAATAAATTCTCTACAAAACGTATATAATCTGAGAGTATCCCCATCCATTTCGGTTAAAAAATGGAATTTATAGAAATATTTTTTCGATGGACGAGAAAAGTAGGCTGTTATGCGGAATCGTAAGAAAAAACGGCGACGAGTTATCTCTAATCTAAAGCGCGAAAGTGTTAACTCATACTCCCAATCATTCCCCCCTTCCCCATCCCATCGTCCTCCCAACCATTCCCCCCTTACCCCCCTCCCCTCGTCCTCCCCACCATCCCCACTCCCCTGTCCCCTTGTCTTCCTCACCATTCTCCATTCCCCGTCCCCTCGTCCCCACCATCCCCAACTCCCGCGTCCCCTCGTCCTACCCCACCATTGTCCCCTCGTCCTCTCCACCATCCCCCACTCCCTCGTCCGATTCATTCTCAAATGATCTGATGTTCCCATCAGAAAATTGGGAACATCAAATGATCTGATGTTCCCCCCATCACTTAGATATAAGAAAAAAGTTCAAAAAACAAAATGAAAAAAATAAAAAATAAAAAAAATAAACTATACTCACGAAATAAACAGTATGGTAAACAACACAGCTCAATTCCAATGCAATGTCACACAAAATAATTAAATCAAAATGAAAATAAATAGAAATCTATGAAAATTCAATATGTCAAAACAATCGGAAACATTGAAATGGAATCATAACATATTTAGTATAGCGTGAGGTGCTTTTACGTGCAACAGATGGCGCTGTTTCTTAAAAAAAAAAAGAATGTTTTTACCTGTGTCAGGTGTGGCATCTATACTTATACTTACGAAATGAATGGTATGGTAAACAGCACAGCTCAATTCCGACCCAGTTTCACACAAATTATTTAAATTAAAATGAAAATAAGTGTAAATCTATGAAAATTCTATTTATCAATGCCCTAGGAAACATTGAAATGGAATCATAACATATTTAGTATAGTGTATGTTGCTCTTATGTGCAACAGATAGCACTGCATTTAAAAAAAAACATATTTTTACCTGTCACAGGTGTGGCATCTATTTAGTAGTTATATGAAATCACCCACGTATTCGAATGGAACTACGTGTCAAAATTTCAAAGCAATCAGTGAAGAACTTTCGGAGATTACAGCATGTGTTGCTCTTACGTCCAACAGATGGCACCGTTTTTCAAAAAAAGCATGTTTTTCCTGTCACAGATGAGGCATGTATATAGTAGGTATATAAAAACATGCACCTATTCGAATGCAACTTTGCGTCAAAATTTCAGAGCAATTGGTAAAGAGGTTTCGATGATTTCCCTCACATGAAAAACAGTTTTACAAAAAAAAAATGTTTTTTTTCCTGTCACAGACATGACATCTATACAGTATGTATATAAAAACCCGCTTGGATGTGAATGGAATGTTGTGTAAAAATTTTAAAGCAATCGGTGAAGAACTTCCCGCAGCAAAGCCTAATTAAGTTACCCAGGAACGAGTACCAATTTGCACACCGCAGCCTAATGTGTGTACTCATTCACTTTGATAACTTCAATTTTCATGTTACGTTTTTCATTTTGGTATCAAATTGTTTGCAATATAAAGGCACGTATTTTAAAACTAGTCCCATAATAATAGCACAATAAATAGAATTTTAACAAATATTTTAATTTTGGATGCTCATCATCACAAAATTATTTATATCTTTCCAGTGTTCTGACAAATTTTTGTGTTACATCTTTCATTTTGGTATCAAATTATTCGCAATGTAAAGGCCAAACATTTTAAAACTAGTCCAATAATAATAGTGCAATAAATAGAATTTTAACAAATATTTTAAAATTTTGACCAAAAACGTATTTATAATCTTTCAAGTGTTCTGGCATCAAGTTCCGTGTTACATCTTTCATTTTGGTATCAAATTGTGCACAATTTAAAGGCGTTCATTTTGAAACTATTCTAAAGTCGATTGAACAAAAAATGAATTTTATACAAATATTTTATTGTTGGACTTGTACATGTGTTACGAGAGATGACTCCGGAAAAAAATTGGTAGCACGTTTAAGCGCCACGAGAGTGCGAAAGTGATGATTATTAAGATTTGTTCAACACACGTTGAGGTGGGTCCTGTTTACACATCAAATCAAATCAAAAGCTTATTCCGGTAAAAGTACACACATACAGGATTAGTTACAAACCATGTTGGATTTATAGATAGAGCTAGTACATACAATACCTAAAGACAGTAGTACGCATAGCGTTTTGGGCAAGGTGAGGTGGGGAAAAACACTTAGACTAAAACTTAATAGTAATTGAGCTTAAAGTATAAATTGCGTTGAAAGAAAAAAAATAAAAGATAAAAAAGGGGGAAACATGGTAGAAAATAGCCAATATACAAATAGGTCAACAAACAGCATTATTTAAAAATAGAAAGACATGGGTAGACATTTAGGGGTAAGGTAGGCATCGTTCACATCACAGTGAACTCCTTGAGTACAAGTTTTTTACGTTTTTACGTGTTTCTTGAGTTTTACACTTTGTTTTAGTCTCACATATATTTTTTTATTTTATATATTATTTTTGTTTTTGTGTTTTGAGTGGTGTGGCTGTTGAGTAGAGTTGCCAGTTCAGCTTTTGTTTGGCGATATATATATATATATATATATATATATATATATATATATATATATATATATATATATAAAAAATATGCGATCAGTTCTTTAGTTTATTTGGTCTGATGTCGTGCACATTGATCCCAAATTTATTGGGAATGACATTATATAGGATACTTTGTGCCCTGCTATTTCCGAAAATACTCTCATCTTCGCCATCAAAGTCAATGATTAAAGTTTGCAAATCAGAAGAGAGCTTGGCCTACCTTGGTTGAGCGGTGGGTGTTGATACTGAGGCCGCGTGGCGCCGGCATCGTTCTGTTTACCTCAAACAAAATACAAAAAATACAAATACAAATATTTATTCAGGTAAAGTACATACATACTAGGTGAAATACAAAAGTTGGTGGATTTATAGATAGAGCTAGTACATACAATGCCTAAAGCCACTATTACGCAAAGCGTTTCGGGTAGGAAAAACACTAAGACTAAAACTTAATACTAACTTAGATTAAAGTATAAATTGTGTTGAGAAAAAATCAGAAAAAATTAAAAAGGGGGGGGGGAACATGGCAGAAAAAAAGCAAAATACAATTTGGTCAACAAACAGCATTGTTTAAAATCGTAGACATGGGTTGACATTTAGGGGTGAAGTAGGTTACATCGAGTAAATTAGGTGGTACTTAGCTTTTATCTTAAACTGGTTGGGAGAGGTACAGTCTTTAACATGATTGGGAAGGTCATTCCACATTCTGGGTCCCTTGATTTGTAAAACATTTCTAGTTTGACTAAGTCGTACTCTTGGAATATCAAATAGGTATTTGTTTCTGGTGTGGTGCTCATGGGATCTGTTACAACCATTTAAGAAGCATTTAAGGTCAGGATTGGCATTACAGTTCAGCGTTTTATATATATAAAGTACACATGAGAGGATGTGCAGTGACTTAATGATAATTACCATAGCTTGATCTTTGACCAGGCCCGACTCCTGGCTATCAAAAGATGTCAGCCAGGATGACTATGTCATTTAATACCAGGATGACTGTCATTTAATATTCAAAAGGCACTAAATATCACTCAGGATACCAATACGAGAACAAAAATACATAAGGCAAGCAACATCAAAGGTATCAGGTCATCAAAGATCCTATCAAGGGAAAGGGAACACGGAGGCACATTCGCTCCTAAAAATCAGGACATTCTACAAGAAGGTACATGACAAAGTAAGTAATTATCAAAGGAAGGCACCAAACCAGGAAGGCTGTGTAGCACCACCAAATGTGCTGATTAATTAGAGGGCGCTAATTATCACCAAGGATGCTAACACGAGAACAGAAATGCATAAGGCGAACGATATCAAAAGTATCCGATTCACCAAAAAGTCTATCGAGGGACAGTTAACCGTGAGAGACGGTCGGAAAGCAAGGCACACGCTCGTCCTGGAAGTCATGACATATCAACAAGAATGTGCACGACCGTAAGAGGTACAATGCAATTTGGACAATAAGGAGCAGGGCAGTGCTCCATTAAGTGATTGTGAGTTAAACGTGTATGGCCAATACATAACCTTGCCAGAGCCATTTCCCATCACCGGTTATGGTGGTAGGAGCTAGGATGGCCATGAAGACACACTACTCTTAAGAGTACGCAGTTTGTTACCAGCAACAGAAGAGCAACAACCCTGCCAACGGTCAAGGATGGAGGAATGAATAACTGGGTAAAAGTCGGAATAAGGAATACCTTTACAAGAGATGGGACAAGTGTGGATAGCTTCCTTAGCGGCAGCATCTGCACGCTCATTTAAAGAGACGCCAACATGGCTGGGAACCCAGCAAAACTACTGACTTAAATTGACTGGAGATGAGAAACATCCATTGGTTATAGATTATGGAATAAATAAATGGTTAGAAACCCAAATAAGGAATTCCTTTTCAGGAAAAGAGACAAGTACAAATGTCCTTGTTACGGGTGGTAACTTCAAATTTATTCAAGGTAACTCCAAAATAGCTGTGAACCTAACAAAACCCAACTATTTTAAATCTGCTACAGATAAAAAAAAAACTGCCTGTTGATTTGACCACCTTAAGTTGTAGAGTAAAAACTTCAAAGCAATGAAGGCTTTGGGTGTTTATACTCATGACCTGGAGTGCCTCATTCCAGGTCATGAGGTACTCACCTCTGGGAAGTTGGGGATTGACCCTGCAAAGGAAGTGGCTGAGGAGTGTAGAGGTTTACCGAAGACAAAGTTGGGTCTGGACCCTCCACACCCATGGAGCTTGATCTTCCATCAGTCAAACTCGCGGTCCTGGTCACTCACCCCATGAACCCGAGGAGATAGGCTGTATAGAGATGCAAAATAAGCAAAACTGGACATCACTGCCATGCATCTCACCCACCACAGAGCTCAACAAGGGGAGGTACAAACACATGGCTAACCTCAGAGGTAAGGAGAGTATTTGCACGGTTACCATTGAAGGGACCAACAGAAGTACAAACCTCCAATACCCACTTGACCTAATATGTAGCCAAGTGAGCTAGCCAGATGAGCCAAATGATTCAGGTTGGGCACATTGAACCTCCCGTTTTACTCCTGTTCCCTGCCCCTTAGTGGCAGTGGTAAGTGTGGTACCCCTTAGGGGCTGCAGTTGCTGGGGAGAATCAACAACCAGATGAAAGAACAAGGGGGAATATATAAATATCCATGCACAGTGAACACATTGATGGCAAAGCCACATGGGCATGTCTTGCTTGTGCACAATCACAGCAGGCAGAGGATGGGAGCACAGGTCACCAACCATCAACCTGAGGGTGGTGCACAAGAGTCCCTTCATCTCGGTAAGCCAGCACCCTCGAGGGGAAAATACATGAAGAGAACACCGTCAAACTTATACACAAATACTTGTTATTATAATACAAATGATGAATAAACCACACATAAGAAGATGAAGGAACGGCAATGTTTCGGTCCATCCCGGACCGTTATCAAATCGTGTGTGTGAGTCACTCGCACATAACTTTATGATGGTCCAAGACGGACCAAAACGTTGTCGTTCCTTCATTTTCTGAAGTGTGGATTGATCGTATCTTCAGCTACATTGTGATTCATCATCTGCTTGGAAACCAATTCTGCTTTAATCTCAAATTAAAAAAAAAAAAAACAGGATCAATAAGTCACTTGCGTGTTTTTTTAAAATTTGTTTGAGCACGGTATTGCTTTGTTATCCATATCATTTATCGTATTATGAATGTTATAATGTATGAATCGGTTAATTTTTAACGTAACCTACTCTCACTATATTATTCACCTTTGTTTCTTCATGCTGATGCCTCCTCCACCCCATAAATGAAGGAAACTAGGTAATAATAATGAATGTACACAAATTAAATTTATTCAGAAATTGTAATACAACTATGTATAACTATACAACTACAGTATACAGTACAGTAGTTCAAAAACTATTTTAAGTTTCTGGTTTACTTATCAACTATGTTTTTCCACCTCTTAAACTTTCCTGTGAAATATTGCAGCAGAACGTACCCTCCACCCTTCCTAGTAAGTTGTAATTTAAGGCTTACCTCAGCCAAATTAATCCCCCTTTATGGTCGAGTGAAAAAAATACCTTTTTTTGTCAGAATTTATTAGAAGTCAAATTTAAACTGATAATAAGCATCATCAAATACATGAACACGAACATAGCCATCTTCACCACCACTAGCATAACCTCTTCCGTTAGGGTGGAAAGATATGGAGTTGATGGGACCGAAGTGACCTTTTACGCGAGCAAACTCCTCTTCAAATACAAGGTGGAAGAAACGAGCATCAAACTTTCCAATTCTTGATGATGTTGTTGTGACATCCATCGCTTCTTGACCACCACCCATGACAACATGAGGATATGTATCTACGAGTGGAGAAATTGCAGCCGAGTTGACGGGTCTGTCTGTTTTGTACATCTTTAGGGGTTCCAGAGTGGCTAAGTCCCATAGACGTGCAGTAGTGTCCTTGCTAGCCGTGATTAGCATCATGCCATCATGGCTTAGTTGCATATCTTTGATCTGCTTGGTGTGCTCCTGCCCAACCTCCATCTGTATAAAGGGAAAAGGCATTAACACTTTTGCTCACCCTGTGCGCCACCCCTCAACTGTGCGATATGGGACCCAGGGTGTCACGGGAGCACGCGTAAATTCTGAAAAGTGTATACTCTTCAACTTTGTCACCTTAATTCTCGTCCTACGAGATTAAATTTGGTATCATTGTGTTCGCAATAGAATTCTCTACAGCACTAAATGCATATAAACTCCAAAAGCCCGGCTAATTACCCGCAGCAAACAGAGAAAGTGCGAACGAGTTACCCAGGAGCGCGCAAACGCGATAAAATGTTTTCACTATTTTCACTCTGGTCACCTCAATTTTTGTCCTAGGTCTTTCATTTTGGTCTCAATGGGTTTGCAATAGAATTCTCTAGAGGAACATTAGCATATAAAATATAAAACCTGGTCACGCTCCAACCGCCGACGAGTTGAAGACGGGCCACTCGTTAGCCGCGAGTGAGCGCTCAGACGTCTTCCAGCTACACTCCCAATTCCCTCCCTTTTCAAGCCTTTCTTTCGCAATTTTCTTCCTGGAAGGGCCTTGTTCATGATCACTATCCATCGTGGAGTAAGGGTAGATAGTTTCTAAAGCCGCAGTAAGAAATATAGCCACGGAAAATAGCCGAAATGTTCATACATTTTAGATGCGAGGAGAGGCGACATTGGTCACAACAGTGGAGCGAAAACAATGGGCCCACGGCATGTGCCAAGCCACCTGAGGGCCACGAGGCTCAACAAAGAAAATGGCAAGACATCGGCGCACATTTTAAAACCAGTCCCAAAAAAATCGGATAAAAACCTGATTTTTGGCGATTATTTAAAGTGGATGACGCAATGCTGCGTCATCCCCGGTATTACCGCCAGTAAACGGATGACGCAATGCTGCATCATGCCCGGGCGAAAGTGTTAATTAGATATACAATGATATACAATTTCTCACTTTCATGGAGTTGTGAGTTGCAAGGCCTTTAATAAAATAATAATTACAGTTACATAAACAATCTCCTCTTTCACCATAGAGGATGCAGGGCTGTCTGAATCATGGTAAGTGATATGCACAGATCTGTGTATAATGTCACATAAATAATAAAACACAGTTTTTGCTGTTATTACACTATATATCTATACTATGAGAGAGTATGAGTAAGAGAGGGAGTGAGAGTGTCAGAGAAAGCGAGAAAGAGTGAGAGAGAGTGAGTGAGTGAGTGCGCGTGTGTAATTACCAAAGTGTACTTACAGGATGAGAGCTACGCTCGTGGTGTCCCATCTATCCAGCACTCTGTCATATAACGTTTGAAGCTCCTGGCAGTATGGGTAAAACTAACACTTCTGGGGTGTTAGTTTTCAGTTGCATATATGCCTGGAGACCATTCAGGCTTGTTCACATTTGTGTTCCTCACGTGCCCCCCAAAGAATGAGGCGATTTGATAAAATACCATGCCCAAGATCACCAACAGTGTGCCGGCGGGGGGATGGGAAATTAGCCTCGGCTACCATCCTCTTTTGTCCGGTCGTATTGGTCGAGTGGTTAAAGGGATCCTGTACATCAGATGCATTGCTTCTGGCAGCATGGGTTCGAGTCACTTGTAGGGTGTGAGTTTTCAGTTGCATATATGCCTGGAGACCGTTCAGGCTTGTTCTCGCACACACACACACATTATGATTATATATATATATATATATATATATATATATATATATATATATATATATATATATATATATATATATATATATATATATATATATATATATATATATATATATATATATATATATATATATATATATATATATATATATATATATATATATATATATATATATATATATATATATATATATATATATATATATATATATATATATATATATATATATATATATATATATATATATATATATATATATATATATATATATATATATATATATATATATATATATATATATATATATATATATATATATATATATATATATATATATATATATATATATATATATATATATATATATATATATATATATATATATATATATATATATATATATATATATATATATATATATATATATATATATATATATATATATATATATATATATATATATATATATATATATATATATATATATATATATATATATATATATATATATATATATATATATATATATATATATATATATATATATATATATATATATATATATATATATATATATATATATATATATATATATATATATATATATGTCGTACCTAGTAGCCAGAACTACTTCTCAGCCTACTATGCAAGGCCCAATTTGCCTAATAAGCCAAGTTTTCATGAATAATTGTTTTTCGACTATAACCTACCTACCTAACCTAACTTTTTCCGCTACCTAACCTAATAACCTATAAGATAGGTTAGGTTAGGTTAGGTAGGGTTGGTTAGGTTTCGTAAATATCTACGTTATTTAAACTATATAAAAAAATTGACTTATATACATATGAAAAGGTTAGATTTATCATTTATAGAAAAAAATTAGATAAATATATTATTAGGAAAACTTATATTAGGCAAATATATGCATAGTAGGCCGATAAGTGCGTTCTGGCTATAGGTACGATATATATATATATATATATATATATATATATATATATATATATATATATATATATATATATATATATATATATATATATATATATATATATATATATATATATATATATATATATATATATATATATATATATATATATATATATATATATATATATATATATATATATATATATATATATATATATATATATATATATATATATATATATATATATATATATATATATATATATATATATATATATATATATATATATATATATATATATATATATATATATATATATATATGTCGTACCTAGTAGCCAGAACTCACTTCTCAGCCTACTATTCAAGGCCCGATTGCCTAATAAGCCAAGTTTTCCTGAATTAATATATTTACTATAATTTTTTTCTTATGAAATGATAAAGCAACCCTTTTCTCTATGAATGAGGTCAATTTTTTTTATTGGAGTTAAAATTAACGTAGATATATGACCGAACCTAACCAACCCTACCTAACCTAACCTAACCTATATTTATAGGTAAGGTTAGGTTAGGTAGCCAAAAAAAGCTAGGTTAGGTTAGGTTAGGTAGGTTAGGTAGACGAAAAAACATTATTCGTGAAAACTTGGCTTATTAGGCAAATCGGGCCTTGAATAGTAGGCTGAGAAGTGCGTTCTGGCTATTAGGTACGACATATATATATATATATATATATATATATATATATATATATATATATATATATATATATATATATATATATATATATATATATATATATATATATATATATATATATATATATATATATATATATATATATATATATATATATATATATATATATATATATATATATATATATATATATATATATATATATATATATATATATATATATATATATATATATATATATATATATATATATATATATATATATATATATATATATATATATATATATATATATATATATATATATATATATATATATATATATATATATATATATATATATATATATATATATATATATATAGTGTAATGACATTTTCAAATAGATAAATATACACATACCAAAAATATTATATATATATATATATATATATATATATATATATATATATATATATATATATATATATATATATATATATATATATATATATATATATATATAAAATCTATCTATCTCCATCCATCCATCCTACCTAACAAATACTGAACGAACTTTTGACATTTCTCCTTTTTTTGAAATTTTTTCTATTTCTTTTCATTTTTTTTATACAAAATTGGAGCAGGCTACCTGACATACACTGAAGAAATCTTTTTCTATTAAAAAAATGAAAAATATAAAAAAAACTTGTACAAATCTGAAAAAAGACTGTCATATAATGTACAAAGAACTCACTCTCCTGTGAACTGACTCGAACCTTGCGAGTTTTGTCAACTCAATTTTTATGCCATGTCATTCATTTGGGTATCAAATTGTTCGCAATCTTTAAAAGGGGCACATTATAAAACTAGACCCATAATAATTATAATTGAACATTAAATGGAATTTTAACAACCATTTTCATTTTTGACGTTTATCACCACAAGTATTTATAATCTTTCTAGTATTCTGACCTCAATTGTCGTGTCAAGTCGTTCATTTTGGTATCAAATTGTTTGCAATCTAAAGGCGCATTCTAAACGTAATTCCATAATTGAAGACAAAAATGGAATTTACAAATATTGTATTTTAATTTTGGACACAACATGTGTCCTTGCCTGACATCTGTAGTTTTTTATGGATGCAATATCCGTCCCTGCCCACCAAAATTGTTAATAAGAGGGCTTAGATTGATAATTACATGCCCAAAATGCTATGAAATTCCCAGTATGAAATCATTTATCAAATTCTCTATTTTTTATATAAAAAAATTTACTATTATTATTGTATTTTATACGCAGTTTGAAATATACTTTGAGTGGACTGACCTTTTTTCCCGTGCGCATGTCCCATTTGATGATACACCCATCCTCGTGTCCAGTCACCACATACTCGTCTAAAGGACCCCAGAGAACCGATAATGCCTTGGCATAGGTAGGAGTCACTTGTGTCTTCATGATTGGGGTAGCTAATGGAATAAACATGTTTATTTGTATTAAAATAAAAACATTTCATTTTTATTCAAAATGTGACATTTATTTCTCAATGTCCCACAAGATGTCACAGGCAGAGTCCTCAGACAGGCATCTTGGCTCTTCCTCAACATAATGTGCTCATCCAGGCAAACCTTTTCCTCACCATACTCTGCTATTTATCATTTACATTATCAATAAAAGTACTCTGCTGCATTTAACTCTACTTCCAAACCCTCACAATTTTATCAGTGCAAACCCATGTTTCACCCCTGGAATCAAAAATACTAAATTATTCTTCAATCAATTATTCTTCAATCAATTATTTTGCCTCCAAACATTCAAGTGGCATAAACAATTTTAGTGAGGACCATGTTTGATGTTTAACAGATATTAAAAATGCAAAATCCTTACCAATAAACAGCAAATCCCCTCCTAATATAACTTTCAGGGCTCAATACTTTTGCACTTGTGCTGACATTAGCCTAATGCATTTCATATTATGCCCTTTCCATTCCTACCATTCTTCCCTGTACTATATTAACATCTCAACACATCGATCATCATAATTAAGTAGTGACATTTCCCAAATGCAGACCTAATAAGGATTCCTCTAACAACTGACGAAATTTGGTCATGGGATCCTCACCACAAATATCAAATTAAAAAAAAAAAAATATTGATTCTGGATTAGGCAAAGTAATTACAGTACCTGCATATCCATTCTTTTTAATTTCTTGTATTTGTACATATTTTTGTGATTCAGTGGATGAGTTTTGGATGAGAAATGCCTGAAATGTTATTCTGAAAATGGCCATGAAACTATTATTTATTTGGCATCACAATCATATCTCTGAAAATAAGTTTAAAGGGTCTGGACTATGAAAAATACTGGCAATGTGGGAGAAATCTCTATATGGACTAGTTCTCCATCAAACAATAGGGCACCATTTAACCACTGGGCTGCTCTTGTGATTATAGCCTGCGATACACCCAAGTGCAAGAAGAAAAAAATCCTCCTAACACTTTCGAGCGTCCGGTGAAAAAAAAAAAAAAAAAAAAAAAAATCTGCTGCCCAGTCAAAAACTATGTTAATATCTGTAGTTTTTCAATGTCTTCTGCAGAGGTAATTTTCATGCTGATTTTTGTATCATCTCCAAATGATGACACGAAGCTGTGACTTATTTTTGTCTATATCTGCTATGAGAATATGGAACAGCAGTGGTGCAAGGACTGTACCTCGAGGTACAGAGCTTTTAACTGCGCTCAGATTCTATTTTATTTGATTGACTGTTGCCCTTTGTGTTCTGTTCGACAGGAAATTGAGTCCCACTTTACCAGTTATACCAATTGATCTAATTTTCTGTGCTATCACTCCATGGTTACATTTGTCGAATGCCTTTGCGAAGTGTGTATACAACATCTGCATTCTGTTTTTTTTCTAATGCCTCAGTGATTTTATCATAATGGTCAAGTAGCTGTGAGAGGCATCCCGCCAAACACACACCGAAACTACGACGTTGGTACAACGTTCGAACAAGTTTTAGCACCTCCTAACCAGTTATAACAACCAATATAGCAAGTTGTAACAACGTTCTAATACGTCATAAACACGTTAAGCCAAGATGTAACAACTTTATTACAAGTTGTAACAAGCGGAAAATAGAGACAGTTTCGGTTTGTGTTTCCAGGGATGATCTTTCCGCTCTGAATCCATGTTGGCCTGGATTGTGGAGGTCATTGGTTTCCATGAATCTAGTGACCCGACTCCTGATCACTCTCTCAAATACTTTTATTATGTGGGACATTAGTGCAACTGGTCTACAATTCTTTGCCAATGCTTTGTTCCCTCCCTTGTGCAGAGGGGCTATGTCTGCTGCTTTCAGCGCATCTGGTATCTCCCCCATGTCCAAGCTCTTCCTCCACACTATACCAAGTGCCTGTGCTACTGGCACTTTGCATTTCTTTATAAATACTGAATTACATGAGTCTGGACCCGGGGGGCCGAGTGCATGGGCATATTGTCAATTTCTCTTTCAAAATCTGCCATGCTCGTGTTGATATCAGTTATACTTACAGGGGTTTGGATATCACGCATAGAGAAGTTGTCCGGATCTTCCACTTTCATGCTGTGCATCGGGGTGCTAAACATGTCCTCATACTGCTTTTTTAAGATTTTGCTAATTTCTTTGTCATCCTCCATGTACCAACAATCACTAGTATGAATAGGTCCAATACTGGCAGTGGTTTTTTCTTTTGATTTAGCATATGTGAAGAAATATTTTGGGTTTTTCTTTATTTCTTGAACTGCTTTCTGTTCTAGTTGCCTTTCTTCAGTCTCATATGAATGCTTCAGCCTCTGTTCGATTTCTTCAATCTCCCTGTTTAAATTATTCCTTCTTTGTATGGAAAGTCGTGTCTGCTTAAGCATTTCCGTTAATTTCTTCCTTCTTTTGTAATGTCGTCTGCATTCTCTTTCTACATTGGACCTCTTTCAGGCTTTCCTCAAAGGAACATGTTTCAGACAGACTTCATATGCTTCAGAAGTCAGTTTTTCTATTCCTTGTGTAGGATTTTTATTCCTTAGAACATTTTCCCATTGAATGTTTGTAAGTTCCCTGTTTATTTTCTCCCAGTCTATCCTTTTATTATTAAAATTGAATTTATTGAATAATCCTTCTCGCTTGTTGTTTCTCTTGGGCCTACTAACGTTTTTAATGTTAGTTTGCACTTCAATGAGCTTGTGGTCCGAGTACGTAGTGTCTGAGACAGTAATGTCTCCGATTAGCTCATCATTGTTCATGAATATCAGGTTCAGCGTGTTTTCGTTCCTAGTTGGTTCTGTAATCTGCTGACCGAGCGAGAATTTGTCACAGAATCTCAGTAGTAGTCTGTGGTTGGTTATTTTCAGGTTGATTTCCTGCTATAATGTTTACTATTCTCCATTTTAAACTAGGTAGATTGAAGTCTCCAAGGAAGATAATATCTGGTACTGGGTTTGCTAGGTTATCAAGGATATTCTCTATTTTGTGGATCTGTTCAGCAAATTCCTCCACTGTTTCATCTGGTTGTTTGTATATTAAAATATTAAGTAGATTTTTCTACCTTGATTCCAAGTACCTCTATCACTTCACTGGACGATTTCAGGAGCTCTGTGCGCTCCCCTTTAAATTAATATACAGACCTACTCCTCCACTTGACCTAATTACTGTCACATCTATATAGATTATAATTTGGGATCCAGATTTCCCTATCCATGTGGTCTTTTGTGAGAGTTTCTGTAAAGGCACCAAATATTGAGTTCGATTCTATTATGAGACCATTTATGAACTTAACTTTTATTTCTTGAATTTGGTTTTAGACCTTGTATGTTTGCAAATATGAATGATTTCCTATATTGCGTGTCACTTTTTGTGGGCTTTGGTAGTTCTCCCCTCCTCTCCACCCTGGTCCAGGGTGTGTTGTTTTGGTAGTGTTTCGTCCAGTTTTGGTAGTATGGGTGTTGTGTGGTGTAGTACCTGTGTAATTTTTGATAATTTATCACTCATATCATGGGACTTGAAGGCAGCTGATGCTACCTGCCTCCAATCTTGTGGGTATCTTATCCAGTGTTGTTTTTTCCCCAGTCCACATATATCCCTGGTAGCTTTTCTATGAATGATAATCTCTGATCTTGTGGGTATCTCCCTTTCCCTCTGTAATCTTGCAGTGGTTCCATCTGACTGTTCTCCTCTCTTACATGTTCTACTCTGATTCTGCCTTCCGCAAAAAAAATTCCCCAGTAATGTCATATTGATCTTCCCGTCTATAATGCTGTGTACCTTTCACATGGAATTCCGGACACTGAAGATTGTAACATTTTTTGTTCCTAATTGAAAATGTACATAATTTAGGATGGAAGTATCTGCACTTTCATGCATTTCAAAGCGGCATGTACCCCTCGCCAACACGTTCCTGCATTTTCGAGGATGCAGAAAAGTGCATTTTACTTCTACTTTCCCACATTTGTATATTCCTTGTGCATAGAATTTGCAAATATTTTCAGTTTTCACTTTTTCAGGGTATTTATACCTGTGCCTGTCTTGGCCACCTCTTTATTGAAGCCATCTTCGTCTTTCGTCCCAAGTCCTTCATTTATGCACTGTCTCACTGTTGCTCTCATTGTTTACATTACCTGGCTCTGTAATATTGCTGATGTATTGTACCACACTACCCTCTTCCTCCACACTACTGCTGTGGTTCCCTACACTACCTGTTCCTGAGTTTTGGTCGTTATCCAGTGTTGCTTTTTCCCCAGTCCACATATATCCCTGGTAGCTTTTCTATGAATGATAATCTCTGACTCGGGAATGTTTTTCATCAGTTTAGTTAGGTTTTCCCACATTAACCTGTCATTTTTGCAAACCCAGTAAATTCTTTGACTATTTGTGCCTGCTGGAGATAATTCTGCGCATTTCAGGTGAAATCTTGTGTCACGGATGCAACACTTAACGCCTACAGTACGTCTTCCAAATACGTCCGAACACCTGCCACACACCCCCATTGTCTGATGTGATGTACTTGTGCTTCACTGTATGGATCATTTGTTGATTTTAGTAATTTTACTATTTACACTATTACATGTATATATTTATAATATTTTATGTATACCGTATATTTGTAATATTACATGTTGCTTTGTTCAAACTTTATGGCAGATACTTAGCGTAGGGTAGAGAAATGGTCGGGGTGTGATGTACCGTCAACCCTTTATGTCCCAGGATGGATGCCCACCAGTTTCCAGTTACTCGATTTATAACACTGATTTATTATGTTTGTATTATTACAAGGAATTCTCTGCCTAATTTCTGGCTTGCAGTGGTATTTACTCACTACAGTATTACTAATTCCTAGATCAACATTTCCATATTATACTATATATTGTCCATATAGTATCACTGAGAGACGAGCCCTGGGGAGGCCTCTTGGCTTGTATAAACACAGCTAGCGTGTCTCTTGCCACTATTCTATATTTCTAATATTCTATGCACTATTCTCCTACACTTCCAACTTATGTGTGTTGTGTTACCCATTCCACTTCATTGTTCCATGTATCAATGTTCACTATATTTCATATTTCGCCTACACTTGTGTACACTGCCTCGTGGCACTGCTTCCACGTGGTCTCACGTTTATTCTTTCCGGCTGCAACAGAAGTTGCAGGCAGCTGATGCTACCTGCCTCCTTCACTAAGATTCCTCCTTCCACCATACTGTTTGTGCTATTATTACACTATATACTCATGTTATATATAAGTATCTACAATTGTGTTCACCATAACGAACGACTAAGCTGATATGGTGATTCTAGACAATAACAGGTGGCCACACAAGATACTGCCCTCCCTCCCTCAGCATTACTGTTCCCACCACACTATGCACAGCACTAATTATCACAACAATCCTGCTATTATCAGAATTCTGGTTATTTTTATCAGTCAGGGGTCTTTGTAATATCACTAAATAATACTAGTTACATACACATTTTTACATTTTTTAGGGCATGCTGTGGTCACAAGCTGATCAGCAGTGCTGTTAGCTCATACTGCATGCACCAGCCTTGGTTGGTCACCCAGTACTGGGGCTCTCACACCCAGGAACGTTGCCCAAGATTTTTTTTTATAAATGGCGACTGTTTACAAGAGCCCAGAGGAAGCCGATGTGAACCCTGTGTAGCTGCGGGACTTTTAAATTTTGTGCAGTACTCCAACATATCGGATACCTGTGGTGCACAATTCCGCGACAATTACTCACCATAGCTGTTGATGTGTTGTGCAGTTTAAGGGTTGCGTAAGAATTTAAATTGCCTATGGCCTCAATCATGTTTAACCCTTAAAGTGCGCATCACGTCATATGACGTGTTGGAGTACTACGCAAGATTTAAACGGCCCGCGGATACACAGGGTTCACCACACCATCAGGGCTCTTGTAAACAGACGCCATTTTAAAAAAAATCGTGGGCCAAACTCCTGGGTGTTAGGGGCCTCAGTATTGAGTGAGCAACCAAGCCTGACGCACGCAGCATGAGCTAACAGCACTGCTGTTCAGCTTGTGGCCACAGCATCACCTAAAAATGCCATAATATACTTGTTCATGCTATTATGTAGCGATGATATTACAGAAGACCCCTGACTGTGATAAAACTGACCAGGGTTCTGATAATAGCAGGATTGTGGTGATATTTAGCGCTGTTCACCATGGAGGGAGAAGTAATGCTGTGGGAGGGAGGGTGGTGGCGATGTCTTCTGACTGTGTGGCCACCTTTTATTGACTGCACTCGCAATACCAGCTTAGTGGTTCGCTATGGTGAACACAAATGTAGATACTTATATATAATGTCTGTATATAGTGAATAAAAGCAAAAACAGTATTGTGGGAGGAGAATGTGGGCGAGTCAGATGACTTAGAGGGAGGGCGTGAGTGGCTGGCTGGTACACGGTGGTCACTCCTCGTTACTTTTTGACTCATAATAGCTACTTAGTGGTTCGTTGTGGTGAATAAAACATGCAGATACTTGTATATAACCTGTGTATATAGTGTAATAACCAACAAAGTATTTGTTCACTGTTTGATGAACATAATTGAATCAACAATATGCACATCATATTTTTTAGTACAGCGATGATTCACTCATTTTATTATATAAATATATCAAACTACACACTATTGAATAATATTACAGCAAAAAACTATGAAAAATCAATCAGAGACATTGAAATAATTAGGTAATTATCTCTTTGTGGCAACTCCGGCCTGACAGCTGGCGATCAACAGACCGCCTGGGACGCACGCTCAGTCAGCACCTGTTTTTTGCCAGACTTTCCCGCCCTATAGCAGGCAATATATGCCACTTACGATTTTTTTATTATTTTTCCCGTGATCAGTGAACACAAATTAACAGGTTAGGAAGAAAAAAAATATTTTTTTTTTTCAAAATTACATGCGCCTGTGGGGAACAAAGGATATTATACCCCTAGCATGTTAAGGGTTAAACTACTTTAAAAAATATCAGAAACCCTGTTTTTGATGTAAATATTGTACGTGCAGGATCCAGTCCAAAACACTATGACCCAGATTTTGAGGTATGTGTGTATAGTATATTTAAGTCCTATATGCAAGACTTCATAACAGAAGACAACTTACCATCAACATCATTTGGTTCCCGAACATCAATAATATTGAGTTCTGAATTATGGCCCATCATTTTGTCAGTAGTGTATGCAATCATGGTGCCAGAGTATGAAAAACTGACACCACGAACAGAGGTCTTCATTTCTAAGTTTGCCATGCCAGAACCAGTTTCGATATCCCAGAGTCTGTAAAGAAAATCATTTAATTATTTGCTTTAATAAAAAGTCAAAGTTGAACTAGATATTATTATTAAATCATGGTATGGTAATCAAAGGGTTTTCCTCATCTCCGATTCCAGCTCTGCCTGCAAGACAAAGTACTGTATCACCCTGGTTATCCAAAGCCCGTTTAACCAGATATTTGGGTTATCCAACCAAAATCGCATCTAGATAATTTTCTGGCAAAACTTTGCCATATCCAGAGATCCAGAGACCAAGGGATTTGGCCAGAAAATGCAGGCTGGCATAGAGTCTAGATCAAGTCCAGATAATTCTGCCAAACTTTACCATATCCGGACAGAAATCTGGAAAACGGGAATTTTGCCGAATAAACGAGAACGATATTAGGTTGTATTAATCAAATACAGGAGTGCTTCAAGGAATGCAGTATAGGTAGGGCATTGGGGAATAGGGGATAGCTAAGGGGGACCGTATTTATAAACACAGTACAGTACTGTATTGAATTCCAGGAGACTGGACTCGGGGCTGAGTGCATGGGAATATCAATTTCTCTTAAAATCTGGTGGTTAAAAAAAGACTTTTTCTTATTGATATGTCACAATGTGATTTCTCTGTGTACTGCTGATTAGTGTTGATATCAGTTATATTTTCAGGGATTTGGATATCAAGCATAAAGAAGCTGTCAGGATCTTCAACTTTCATGCTGCCTATTCGGGGTGCTAAACATGTCCTCTACTACTTTTTTAGGATTTCACTAATTACTTTGTCATCCTGTGTATGAACCTTCATTTTATCCATAGGTCCAATACTGATGAAGGATTTTCAATTTGATTTCACACATGTGAAGAAATATTAGATTTTTCTTTATCTCTGGTATTCTAATTCTATTTCAATCTTCTAGGCCATAAAAGCTGATATCTTCAGCTACAGTTCTAATTCTTCAATCTCCCTGTTTAAATTATCCTCTAACCCTTAGACCGTACAATACACACACAAACGATGGGAGTAAGTTTACTGAAACCGCGCAATACATATATAGACGATTGAGGCTATAGCGCACGATTTTAAGTGCCTCGCGAGGGATAGGGGCAGCTGTAGTCCAGTCACAACCGATATTTAACAGACGCCACCTAGAAAAAAAAATCATGGGCAACATTCCTGGGTGTGAGAGCCTCAGTACTGTGTGAGTCACGAAGGCTGGCACACGCAGCATGAGCTCACAGCACCGCTCTTCAGCTTGTGACCACAGCATCGCCTAAAAATGTCAAAATATATATGTACGTGCTATTATTTAGCGATGATAGTATTACAGAAGACCTCTGATTGTGATAAAATCCTGACCAGGATTCCGATAATAGCAGGATTGTGGTGATATTTAGCGCTGTGCTCCATGGCGAGAGGAGTAATGCTGAGGGAGGAAGGGAGATGGTGTCTTCTGTGTGGGGCCACCTTTTATTGACTGGACTTTCCATACCAGCTTAGTGGTTCGCTATGGTGAACACAAATGTAGATATTTATATATAACATGTGTATAGTGTAACAACAGCAATAAGAGTATGTTGGTAGTTGCCATTTGGGTGAGGGAGGTGCATCATCTGCATGACATGTTATGTTGTTTACTGGTGGCCACTATGGTCTTTGGGCACCATACCAGCTTATTGTATAGGTATGGTGAATAAAACATGTAGATACTTATATATAATGTGTGTGTATATAGTGTAATAACATCACAAACAATATTGGAGGAGAAATATTAGTACTTCTGGCCTTGAACCAGACCAGCTGTGTGTGTAGCTACGTCACTTATTGCCTGAACTCACCATACAAGTTTAGAAGTACAGTTATGGTGAACAAAACATGTAGATACTTATATATAACATCTGTGTATAGTGAATAAAAGCAAAAAAGTATGGTGGGAGGAGTATGTTGGCGAGTGAGGGAGTGGTGGCGAGTGGCTGGCTGGCTGGTGAATGTGGCCACTCTTCGTTGCTTTTTGACTCTATACCAACTCTGGTTCGTCATGGTGAGCTAAACATGCAGATACTTATTACACTATATACACAGGTTATATATAACAGCAAAACTATTTGTTTATCATTTTATGAACATCATAATTGAATCACTAATATGCACACCATAATTTTGAATACAGCGATGGTTCACACATTTTATTACATAAATATATCACAATACACACTTTAATATTATTACTATGGGACTTATATATACTTAAATATACGGACAATAAATGGAATTTTTACAAATTTATAAAAAAAAAAAAAAAATTACCCAGTTTGTGTCATTGGGCATATTCCGTATTTTGGTTTTATGGCAGAATATGCGGCATCGAGCTGCAAACCTTTTAAAGATAAATATATTTGTTTCAACCACCACACTGCGCACCTGGTTTCGGCAAAAACTTTAGTGAAACTGTCAAGGGCATATTTTTGTTTTTATAAATGTTCAGGTAAAGTTAATGTCAAAATGTTTCCAAACTCGACCATTTTCATTTCAAAACAGTGATGAAAACATTAACCACCGTGCTCCGCCAAGTTTATTGTGAAATAGACCATGTGCGCATGATATAGTGTTCCCAAAAAATTCTCTTTTCTTCGTAAAATGATAAATTCCCCTTCCCTGAACATGTCTATATAAAAATAAATATCAAATTCCACTTTGGCTGTGGGGACGGGGACAAGGTGCGCTGTGACGTCAACAGGGGCTGGTCGCCCGTGTATGACACGCCCAGACACAGTCGCGCAGGCCATTCAAGCACCAGGTGTTGCTACAAATATATTTTCAATTATTTGTTCTATGTATTTCCAATGCGTTTTTTTTTTTATCGTATATGATGCATATTTGTGTCCTTTACAATATGTATACAGTAGAACATTCATAATGTTCCATGGAACTGTGATACATGTGTCAGTAATGTCTCCACAATAAATGTTTATTGTTGCAATATTACTTGTTAAAAATTCACTAAAATTACAATATGTACAGTTTCACACACTATTTACACAGTAACACACTGTATTACACACTCAGTACTGTACTTTAGAAGTGAGTAATAATCAACGAAGTATTCTATGGTACACAGCGCGACTTCGCTCTCGTTGCACCGGGTACAGATAGATTTTCGCTTCCTGTTTCTTCGTTCTGTGTGCTTGTAAATAACGCACTCATGTACACCCTTGGCATTATTACCTGAAGGTGGTATGTAGCCAAGCTTGTAAAACGTAAGGTAGTCTTGATAAGGTTACAGGAAAAGATCAATTTGTAAGTAGTCGTAAAAAGATCTCTTTGTAAGGTCCCACACAGGAAGAGATTCAGCCAGCCTCAGAGTGTGCCAGTCAAAAAGAAATTCAGCTATTCTTTAATATATACCTATGGAAAACACCACCATGGAAGCCGCTAACACTGTTCATCTATGCTACTTATATCAGATGCATCACTGAACGCAGAAAACGATTCATATATGTATCATCTAAATAAATTGGAGATAGCATAGGTGGGCAAGGGTGGCGCTCAGAGCTACAACTGAATACGCTAGCTGTATCGTCCTCATAGATGCTGTATCACTTTCATCCGATCTTTGTGTTAGGTCTTTATTGCGCCTAGCTTCACCAATATTATGACCCTTATGTTCTTCAAACAATAAGGTTTGAATTTCACCGACAGCGTGATCTTTCAACTCCACGTCGGACAAGTGTTTAGGAGCCAGAGGCGCGTGTGCCACCCATGGTTGCTCACTCAGTATTAACCCAGCCAGCAGCCCTAGGGCATTCTGGGATTTTTTTCCAAGATGGCCGAGACTCACTCGAGGTCCTAAGAGTCCATTTCGTACACACCCAACTTTGCACAAATTTAGAATGGGTACGAAAAAATAAAGTTTTCTCGGTTGGCGCAGTTTCCCACCAACCGAGACTACTCGGTTGGCACAGTTAAGTGGTTAAGGAACATTAAAATATTGCCTAATTAAAAAAAAAAAAAAAAAAAAAAAATCAACTCTCAGAGCGTTACAGAGGCTAAATATTTGTTGTATGGCTAGTTGCATGACCTTTGGCCACCATTGATAGAGAGGTTGTTAAAAAGGGGTTATATAATTATTGGGCTGACAAACAAGCAGTTGTATTACTATCTGGCCGACATATGAAATTAAGGTATCATACCTCATGGTCCAGGCTGAAACTGCATGTGACAACCAACATCGTTATTTCAAATTTGAAAAACTTTTCTTGAACTAAATAGTAATAAAATAAGAACAAAAATGGGTACTGTAAAAAGCTTTGTGACACAATGCCAACTAAATCTATCCAGCACACTGTTTAGCATGACTTTCATTGATTTTTTTTTTGGTTTTCTACACATCAGCAATGTACTTTGAAAAAAGTTAATGTATTGCGAGTGAATTAACACTTACCTCATGGTTTGATCTGCCGAGCCCGTTACAAACAGAGTACTGTCCCACTTGACGTCAATGGACCAGACTGCACCAGAATGGCCATCATAGGTCCCCAACCGTTCTCCATTGATGGAATACCACACATTTGGCTTGGGGTCTTTTGATGCCGAGAACAGCAAGTCGCCTTCACGGTTAAACTTGATTTGCGTTATGGAACGCTCATGACCTTGAAGCATAATAGGCTTCTGTAATGTAAATAATAAGTATTAAAACATTGTCAATATTAATGAAAATAATTATTAGTTAATGTTGAGGTTAATGACTCACTCCCCCACCTAAATAGGAGGGGGAGAGGAAATGTGACAATGTTGTCCCAGACTGGATAGCTGGATTTGACACGTTTAACCCAAGAAAATTTACAGACATTTTGAACTTTAACCAAAAGGATCACACAAAATTATTACTCCAACCCATTAGAAAGTTTAAACATACGTATGTAATAAATTTCCAAAATATAAAATCAATAGTTTTACAAATAATAAATTAATTATATTTTTTGCGACAACTGTAGAAAATTGAGAAAATGTGCTTCTTAAAACACTTTTTCTAATAAAACACTATCTTAAGAATTCAAGCAGTCCCCGTGGTAACATGCCTTGCATTCCGCAAGCGCTTTTACCAGTTCGTATCCTGGCCGAGGAGGATTGACTGGGCGCCAATCTTTAACTGTACCCTCTGTTTACCCCAACAGTAAAATGGGTACCCGGTTGTTAAAACGATTTGGCGGGTCATATTCTGGGGAACATAGGATTAAGAACCTGCCCAAAATGCTGTATGCTAGTGGCTGTACAAGAATGTAAGAACTCTTGTAGAAATAAATAAAAAATAAAAAGTCGTTATATTCTTATAGTCACTAGTAGGCATAGCATTTCGGGCAAGTCCTTAATCCTAATTTTCACCCCCCCCCCCCTTGCTGTCCCTGACAGCCCATAGCAGCTGTCTAACTCCCAGGTACCTATTTACTGCTAGGTAACAGAGGCATCAGGGTGAAAAACTCTGCCTAACTGTTTCTGTCTCCGCCAGGGATCGATCCAGGACCCTTAGGACTAGAAACCCACTGTCCAAAGTTGAATGCAGTCGAGAGGCGGGCCGAAAGAGCAAAGCTCAACCCCCGCAAACACAACTAGGTGAATACACACACACAGTGTGGAATATGTGGGAGTTGCCCTGGCCCTCAAGCCCAGCCACCACTCACCATGTTGCACACAACACTTGACCCTCCTGCAACACCACACTAGTCCAACACATGTGGTGCAACACCCACAACACTATACTAGTCCAACACATGTGGTGCAACACCCACAACACTATACTAGTCCAACACATGTGGTGCAACACCCACAACACTATACTAGTCCAACACATGTGGTGCAACACCCACAACACTATACTAGTCCAACACATGTGGTGCAACACCCACAACACTATACTAGTCCAACACATGTGGTGCAACACCCACATCACTATACTAGTCCAACACATGTGGTGCAACACCCACAACACTATACTAGTCCAACACATGTGGTGCAACACCCACAACACTATACTAGTCCAACACATGTGGTGCAACACCCACAACACTATACTAGTCCAACACATGTGGTGCAACACCCACAAAACCACACTAGTCCACCACATGTGATGCAACACTATACTCCTGCAACACCCACAACACTGTGAGAGACAAGGTAGCAGGAAGGGGTAGTAGAGGAGCACACAGAGGGTACTGACCATGGTGGCGAGGGAGGGAGAGGGCAGGTGACCCTAGAGGGAGCTCCACAACACAAGACTGGCCGCCACGCTCGCCTCTACACCAGGGTTGCCAGATCCAAATTGCTAAAAGTAGCGAGCTGACGCTCAAAAAGTAGCGAATTTGCAAGTAGAGTAGCCCAATTTTTTGTTTAGTCAAATCGAAATTATCAAATCAAATTATAGCCCCTGGGGAGGATTATCTTGCCTTGTGGTTACTTTTTCTTTGGGAAGTTCCTAGGATCAACGTCCCCAGGGGGTCGGTCTCTGACCTGGCCTCCTGCGGTAAGTGGTCTATTCAATCAAGCTGGAATTCTGGTAGTTTTATTATTAATCATGGATGAAAGTAAATTGAGAATATTATCTTGGAACGTTAATGGATTAAAAACTAGAGCGGTTGATGTACACAATTATACTCTTAGAGAGGATATTGACATAGTAGCACTCCAGGAAACTGGGGATAGGGATGGGAGCATTCTGAGGTTAAATGGCTATAAAGGTTTTCACTTATATGCTGATGGAGGAACTAGGGGGGTCTCATGTTATGTCAAAAGTATAGTGTAATACAAACACTGTATTGTAAAGTATACAAGGATATTTTAAAGGTTCAAACAGTGTTGGATAATTTCGGAAACCTGTGTCACCATATGGGACTGGTGGTTAATGAAAACAAAACTAAGTTTGAATGTAGAAATCGGAGGCCCATTATATTGAAAATAAACGGTAAAAATATAGAGAGAGTTAATATATATAAATATTTAGGCATATATGTTGGATATACCCATGAGAGTTTGGAAGCCGAGATGAACAGACTGTTGGGTCAATGTCGGAAGAGATTACAACCTCTGAAGGCCTTGGCATGCTGTGGAAAGGGAGTGGAAGTCCCTGTGCTACGAATATTATACTTGAGTACTGTGTGACGGTAAAGCGTTGGTGTTCGGCTGTTTCAAAAGCTAGGGGCAGGGCCTCGTCACATTATAGAAAAAAAGAGAAAAGCTGGAGCTTTCGTCTGTGGTAAGGTAATGGGAAGACACACAAAACACAAGTAAATTAACAATGAAATTTTAATTACTTTAGAAAAACAAGACATGAATAAAGTTAAGCACATAAAATATGAAAGACAAGTCAACAAACAAAATAATATGAATAATCACTGGCAAATGAAAAGTTACATTAAGACAAGTGAGTTACAGTGATAGCAAAATAAAATATGAATGCTGGAATATTGGCTTCGAGCTGCCACCTCCCTTAGTACACGAAAGCCAAGGCTTAGTCTACCAGCGAGAGATGTCAACTGCTTGGAGCACTGAGATATTCTGACGATATTAGCGCACTGCAGCCCAGACATCAACTTGTGGCGGAGGGCAGGTGCGACGGGACACCAGCCAATCAGCGACAGGCAGGCAAAGGACGAGCAGTTTGCTGGTTACGGTGGCTGAAGCAGGTGTGCCGGTGTGCTGGATACGTTTTGCTCTCTGGGCAAAACGTTTGGCGATACTTGCTGGACGTATCTTCTATATTATCTTGTATATTTACGTACTTTGTAGGGAAGAGCAGGCTCAATCTCTCTTGAAAGAGATTATCGTCACAACTGTAAGATCTCTTATTGATTATGCTCCACCTGTCATATCTTGTTTTGGTAAAGGTAGGATGGGCAAGTTGGAGAAGGTACAAAATGAAGCCATGAGAATTATCTTAGGATGCCCAAGAAATGCTATGATTGAGATAATGAGGATGGAGTTGAATCTGCAAAGTATTGGGGATAGAATTGTAGAGATAAATGTAGCCTCTGCCATTAGATTAATGAGAGGTGGGGAAGCTAATGAATTAATCCTCTTGGTTCAAAAGGTGGGAAGTAGTGAACAGTGTATGATGAAGAGAGTATACATGAATAACTTATGTTCTAATGTTATAAAGTATGATGTTATTACAGAGTGTATTGTTGTGCCCAAGAGAAAATTCACACCACCATGGGAGGATTGTAATGTAGATGTAGTAATTACTCCCTTGCAAAAGAAAAAAAGTATGTATGAAATAGGAGAGCTGAGGGCAACATATGATTGTATAATTAGAAAACTGCCAACAGAAAACACTACATGTATATTGTGATGGGTCAGTAACTAGGGATGGGAAGGCAGGATGTGGAGTCTTGATCAGGGAGTACACTGACATCGGCACTGTAGATACTGTTATTGGACGCCGCTTAACTGACAATGTCTCTTCAACGCAGGCTGAACTCCAAGGAGTATTAGCAGGATTACAGGAAGTAGTCAAATGTGGTAAAAATGCTTGCTTCTTTATTGACAGCAGAAGAGCGTTAGTCTTTAAATAGCAGACGCCAAGTATATCAGAATATTGTGATAGAGTGTAGAGAGAATGTTGAATGTTGTAGAGAGAATATTGTGATAGAGTGTAGAGAGAATGTTGTTGATGTTGTATGTCAGTTAACCTTGAAACAAATAAAAACAAGAATCAAGATGATCCAAGAGGGTGAAGAAATGACAAGAGAATGGCAATGGTGGACAGTAGTAACACACTTAAGAATTATTCAATAATAAATACAAATTCGTCCTTCACTTATGGTAAAGGAAAGTCTACTTGGAAGGATTCAATTTACATGAGAATAAGATTAGGATACAAATATATCTGGCAATACGGTGTTGATGTCAGTGAAAAAGATAAGGAGTGTAAATTATGTAGTATGCCGCACGCCCACACCTTAGAACATTATGTATTAGAGTGTCAAATTATTGAAAACTATAGAAATAAGGAAATAAATAGTGTACCACATCAAATTGTTTGGATGTGTGATAATGGTATGATAGACAGTATACTTAGGAGCTACAAGAATTTTGTCCCAAGAGTGTAACAATTATATGCTGTACTTACTATATTAACCTGCAATGTTAAATGGGATTCTTGTAATGTTATTTGTCTATTTGTACTCACTGCATTTGTGCGCCCCTTGAGGGACTTGAAGTAGAGGGGGGTAGAAATAGCCTAAGCTACTCTATCCCTTTGAGATGTATTTATTGCTTATCTCAATAAACATACTTGAACTTGTACTTGAACTTGGACGCGGCTGTGATTTGTACACATGACATTATAAAAGCATAAAAATCATCATTGAGTTTCTTAACATTAATAGCCCAAAATAACCCAACTTGTTTTTAAAGTAGCCCAAAAAGTCGCAAGTAGCGAAATTAAAAATTTGGGAGCGCGGGGCTCTGAAAAGTAGCCCATTTCGCTACTTGTAGCCCAATCTGGCATCCCTGCTCCACACCTCTTCCTTCACACATCAACATATTAACAATCTACACTTACCACACAAACCATTCACTTATATATATACCTTATGTAATATTTATATTTATTCTATATATTCCTTTGAATTAGCTGTAATTTATATTTTGATAGATATAATTCAGCTATGAGGGGGTAATGACGCTAAACACTTCTCTCCTGTTAATAAAAAATAATGCAATGTCTCTCAAATAGTGCCAAGTAGCTACCCATATTTCCCACAACGAATTTATGCTGTTATTATTGCCGGAGACAATATCTTTCTTGTACCCCCCAAAATGCATAAATAAATCCATAGAGTAGTAGGCCGTTACCCCCCGGCCCGGGAGGCGACACATGGCCGCACCACAACACCTGCTGCTGCTCGACCTCCGGTCAACTCACGCTCCCAGGTCAGTCTCTGTCACTATCTCCCAGTACGGAGCCTCTTGTCTCCATCTTTGCTCCTGGTGGTATAAATTAGGTCAACATTTATATGGAGTAACAGTCAACATGCTGGTTGTTGAAGAGCTCTGCTCAATGTATGCTTCAGGAAGATCCAATATTTATTGAAACAGTCCTACGTCATATAAACATTTCTTTTAACCTAGACGACAGTGTGCGCGTACGAGTCTTAATTCAGTCTTTGAAGTTAATTTGGAGCATAGAAGCTCTAGACTTCTAGACTAACAAATACTCCATTTAAATGGAGACAAAATAACAAGCACCAGTCTCCGTGGTGCAGTGGTAAGAGACACTACTGGCGTTCCACGAGCGCTTTGTCATGGGTTCGTATCCTGGCCGGAGACAATAATACCTGGAGACCTGTGCACGCCATGAGTCACAATAACACCTGGAGACCTGTGCACACCATGAGTCACAATAACACCTGGAGACCTGTGTACACCATGAGTCACAATAACACCTGGAGACCTGTGCACACCATGAGTCACAATAACACCTGGAGACCTGTGCACACCATGAGTCACAATAACACCTGGAGACCTGTGCACACCATGAGTCACAATAACACCTGGAGACCTGTGCACGCCATGAGTCACAATAACACCTGGAGACCTGTGCACACCATGAGTCACAATAACACCTGGAGACCTGTGCACACCATGAGTCACAATAACACCTGGAGACCTGTGCACGCCATGAGTCACAATAACACCTGGAGACCTGTGTACACCATGGGTCACAATAACACCTGGAGACCTGTGCACACCATGAGTCACAATAACACCTGGAGACCTGTGTACACCATGAGTCACAATAACACCTGGAGACCTGTGCACACCATGAGTCACAATAACACCTGGAGACCTGTGCACACCATAAGAACATAAGAACATAAGAACAAAGGTAACTGCAGAAGGCCTATTGGCCCATTCGAGGCAGCTCCTATTCTATAACCACCCAATCCCACTCATATACTTGTCCAACCCGCGATTGAAACAATCGAGGGACCCCACCTCCACCACGGGAACGGGAACGTGGTGGAAAGTGAACCATGAGTCACAATAACACCTGGAGACCTGTGCACGCCATGAGTCACAATAACACCTGGAGACCTGTGCACACCATGAGTCACAATAACGGGGCTTGACATATGAAGACCAAGCCACACACAACAAGGTGAAGAGACGACAATGTTTCTGTCCGTTCTGGATCATTATAAAGTTGCTTGTTATTGACAAATACTGTACCTTGTTTGGAGAAAGTTCAACACCAGGCAACATAAATCATTCCACAACACTGCAAACCAGGCATGACAGGGCGGATCTAATCAAAGCTTTTTAAAATGCCGTACTGAACAATTTAAAAGGTATGTCAGCAGTCTGCCAAAATCTACATATTGGCAGCAGTCAAAAAGCTAACCAAACCCTTGGAATAATTAAGTGTACCTTTGACTTTAAAGGATAAAAAGGTGATGATTCAAATGTACAAATCCCCCCCCTCCCTGTGGATTATTGTATTGAAACATGGAGGTTATCTTGGGAAGATTTTGGGACTTAGTGTCCCTGCGGCCCGGTCCTAGACCAGGCCTCCTTTTTGTTACACTGCCCCAGGAAGCAGCCAGTAGCAGCTGTCTAACTCTCAGGTACCTATTTACTGCTAGGTAACAGGGGCATAAGGGTAAAAGAAACATTTTGCCCATTTGTCTCCACCTCCACCGGGAATCGTTCCACCTGGAACCTCGGAACTACGAATCCGAAGCACTGTCCACCCAGCTGTCAGGCGCATGGAGACCACATCTTTACATGGACATAGCTGCTTTGGAGAAAGTGCAACACCGGGCAACAAGAGTCATTCCAGAGCCAAGTCAACTCTCGTATCAGGAATGGTTGAGGGCCACAGGGCTAACACCTCGGATCTCATTGAAACTTTTAAAATAATGAACAATTTGGAGGATGCTGATCTGTAAAATTTCTTCAAAATGTCGGATGTAACACAAACAAGGAGCAATGGTTTAAGCTCAACAAGCAGTAGTGTAGGACAGAACAGCAGATGCTTTTACACCCACGGTGTTATAAACCCATGGAATTATCTACCCGCCAAAGCTGTAAATGCCAAAACACTCAATTTTTAAAGTATAACTGGAATGGATCATCAGGGCAAATGGGGGACCTTCGACAAGCTGTCGGCTTCCTGTCCCCATTAAGGCCACTAGTGTCAGTGGGCCTTGGGTAAATATGATCCAGAATTATATGTTAGATATGACACAGAATTATATGATCCATTTAGGAAAAATGGCCATAACATTGTATTGCATTAGCCTAATTGTTGTATAATTACCTAAGTGTAGTTACAAGATGAGAGCTACGCTCGTGGTGTCCCATCTTCCCAGTACTCTGTCATACAGCGCTTTGAAGCTATTGACGGTTTTTGCCTCCACCACCTTCTCACTTAACTTGTTCCAACCGTCTACCACTCTGTTTGCGAAAGAGAATTTTCTTATATTTCTTCAGCATCTTTAGCTGGTTTAAATCTATGACCTCTTGTTCTTGAAGTTCCAGGTCTTGGGAAATCTTCCCTATCGATTTTATCAATTCCTGTTATTATTTCAGGTGATAGTTTTTTATCTAGAACCACCCCTAGATCTCTTTCTTTATCAGAATTCTTTAAAGATATCTCACGTAATATATAGGTTGTGTGGGGTCTATGTTCTCCTATTCTACATTCCATAACATGGCATTTATTAACATTAAATTACATTTGCCAAGTGGTGCTCCATATACTTTTGTCCAGGTCATTTTGAAGGGCATGACAAACATCTAAGTTTCTTATCCTTCCTATTGTCTTAGCATCATCAGCAAACATGTTCATATAATTCTGTATACCAATTGGTAGATCATTTATGTAGACAATAAACATCACTGGTGCAAAAACTGAACCCTGTGGTACTCCACTTGTGACATTTCTCCAGTCTGATACATTGCCTCTGATTACTGCCCTCATTTTCCTATCAGTCAGAAAATTTTTCATCCATGTTAAAAGCTTACCTGTCACCCATGCAATATTTTCCAGTTTCCAGAACAACCTCTTATTTGGAACTCTGTCGAAAGCCTTTTTTAGGTTCAGATAGATGCAGTCAACCCAACCATCTCTTTCCTGTAAAATCTTTATGGCTCGATCATAGAAACTGAGTAAATTCGATACACAGGATCTTCCAGATCGAAAACCATACTGTCTGTCTGATATTATATCATTTCTCCAGGTGTTCTACCCTTTTAGTTTTGATTAGTTTTTCCAATACTTTCACTATTACACTAGTCAATGATACAGGTGTATAATTGAGGGGGGGTCTTCCCTGCTGCCACTTTTGTAGATTGGAACTATGTTGGCCTGTTTCCACACGTCTGCTACGACTCCTGTACACAGGGATGCCTGAAAGATCAGGTGAAGTGGAATGCTGAGCTCAGATGCACATTCTCTTAGAACCTATGGTGAAACTCCATCTGGGCCAACTGCTTAGTTCTTACTGAGCTCCTTTAGCATATTTTCCACTTCATCTCTAGACACCTCTATACGCTCTATGTTGTTCTCTGGAATTCTTATAGTGTCCTTCACCTGCAATATGTTGTTTATGAATTTGTAGAATAGGCTCGGTTCTGTTTTACATTTATCCGCTATCCCTTTTTCAAAATTTCTTTCTGCCTCTCTCCTTACTGCCGTATAGTTGTTTCTTGCATCTTTGTATCGTTGGCATGTTTGGGGGTTTGGCCTCTTCCTATACTGATAACATTTTTGTGTCTTTTGGTCTCTGGCTCTCACAATTTCTGTTGAACCAATCCTGTTTTCTGGCCCTGCGTCTCTGTTTTGGTATAAATGTTTGTGTGCCTTCATATATGCAAAATTTGGCATATATACTTCCCTGCCTAATAAGTCTGTATATATATTTCGAATTTTATATATATATATATATATATATATATATATATATATATATATATATATATATATATATATATATATATATATATATATATATATATATATATATATATATATATATATATATATATATATATATATATATATATATATATATATATATAATATATATATATATATATATATATATATATATATATATATATATATATATATATATATATATATATATATATATATATATATATATATATATATATATATATATATATATATATATATATGTCGTACCTAATAGCCAGAACGCACTTCTCAGCCTACTATTCAAGGCCCCATTTGCCTAATAAGCCAAGTTTTCATGAATTAATGTTTTTTCGTCTACCTAACCTACCTAACCTAACCTAACCTAGCTTTTTTTGGCTACCTAACCTAACCTTACCTATAATTATAGGTTAGGTTAGGTTAGGTAGGGTTGGTTAGGTTCGGTCATATATCTACATTAATTTTAACTCCAATAAAAAAAATTGACCTCATACATAGAGAAAAGGGTTGCTTTATCATTTCATAAGAAAAAAATTATAGTAAATATACTAATTCAGGAAAACTTGGCTTATTAGGCAAATCGGGCCTTGAATAGTAGGCTGAGAAGTGAGTTCTGGCTACTAGGTACGACATATATATATATATATATATATATATATATATATATATATATATATATATATATATAAATAAATAATCAATATCAAAAAATGTATGTGGAAAATAACAAAATTAAGAGGAATCTATTATTTGCACTGTAGATAATCATAACTGCAATTTTATGTTTTACATTCACAGGTAGCTGCTAATTGCTGTTCATCAACAATGGCCAAAAGCTTAAGGAGTAAGTGGATACGAAAATGCAAGAGGGAAAAGCGCATTAGATATGGTAAAAAGGAGCTGGCAAGTCTCCTGAAAGTGGTAGAAAAGGCACAGGGTGAAGTTGAAATCAAGGATGCTGTTGAAGGTAAGAGGTTTTATACTGTACAGAATAACACTGTACAGACACACAAGTTACAGCCCCGCTCCTGTGCCAGGTAAGTCCACTACGGTCTAACCAAAGCTCAATCTGCTTTGGTTCTTAAATAATAGGTCCATGTTCAATGGGCTCTCATCCCGTTAATGCGTACATATCGTAAAACGGGCCAACTTTGACCCTTTATCAAATCACGTCTAGTGCCCAGAGAGGTGTGAAATTTGGCATACCATGACAACTTTTGGTGCGGAATACAGCAGTGCAATCAAAAAAGTAGTTTGGGTAGCCATTCAGCTACCAATCCATGCTAAAATCACTGCCAAATTTTGTCATAAGACATTTGGATCCCAGTTAGGAGACCACTTACTCATCACCAAAAGGTCTAAACACCATGATCTTTTGCAATGATGTATAACAAGCACAATATTAAGCAGTGATGCAATAGCAACTCTGTTGTTATTGCATATTGTGCAATAGTGTAAGTACAGTAGTGTAAAAAAGTCATGATCAGTGCACAAGATGATGATGAATCATAATTTCATTTTTTCGATGTTGCACCAAGGTACTGTATGTCATTTTCAGAGTCCTCTGGCTGAACTTTAACCCTTTAACTGTGCCGCCTCCAAATATGACACCCCCACCCCAGTGCGCAGGAAATAAATTATCTTGATATGGACCTGTTATTTTTTTTTTAAAGTGTCAAAAACCCTTCCCTCAGTATGGGTATGTCAAAATTTTTCGAAATTGTACTTACTTTGGCTGCTATGGGGTCCGTAAGTTGGCGCATGACATCATCATTCCCCGTTCGCCCGTGACGTATGCTCCCGGGGCCAGTAGGGAGCCCGGGGCGGGGCATGCGAGTTGCCGCGAATATATTTTTGTTCATTTTTTGTGCACAGTTCCAAATACATTTTATTTGTTTTTACGTGCTAATCCTATGTATAATGAACACGTACACTATATTATGGCAGTAAAACATCCATACTGTCCAAGGACACTGTGTTACGTGCATGACACTTGTGTACACATATGTTGCACATATTTACCATGTATCATGCTAATTTATGTATATATACAATCTATTTACAGGCTATACACTGTCACACACTATATACATTCACCATCAACACATTCAGAACACGGCGAGTGTGAGCTGTCACACCCAGCCAGCCCTCCCTCACTCCTCCAACATTGTATTCGCCAACATTGCTCCTCCCATCATACAGTTATTCACACCAATGTTTCATGTTCATTTATGTATATTTACAACATATGTACACACTATACACTGTCACACACTATATACATTTACCATCAACACATTCAGAACATCGCGAGTGTGAGCAGCCACACCCAGACAGCCCTCCCTCACTCCAACATCTTACTCGCCAACATTGCTCCTCCCACCATACTGTTATTGTTTTTATTACACTATTTACACATGTTATATATATACCTATCTACATGTTTTATTTACCAGAACTATGCAAGTAAGCCGGTATTGTGTCCAAACAGTACAGTGGCCACCATACACTGCATGAGAAATCACACAGCAGACAGCAGACGACGCTACGATTACGACATCACCTCCCTCACCAAAATAGCTCCACTCAACATACTCCTGTTGCTGTTATTACACTATATACACACACACACTGTATATACCCATGTACATGTGTGTTCCCCATAGCAAACCACGAAGCTAATATGGTGAGCAAAACAAGAGTGGCTGCCACACACAGTGGTGGAGGCTACCTCAATTCTCTCCCTTCCTCCCTCACCAAAATTCCTCCTTCCACAATACTACGCACAATGCTAATTATAACCACAATCCTGGTCACTAATTCCTGTAAATGAATAATTGACCACAAGTTTATTTTGAAAAGGAACCTAAGAAGTCGTTTGAAGATTCCTAGATGGACGAAATAATGCTGTGGTGCTGTGGCTAGCGCTGTGAACATCGTGAACAGCATTGAATCACTGATATTTGAACATTGTACCCAGTCATTATCACACTCAGGCTCTTCTATAATACTATCATGGCTAAATAATACAGGTTATATATATATTTTGACATTATTAGGCGATGCTGTGGTCACACGCTGAACAGCAGTGCTGTGCGCTCATGCTGCAAGCGCCAGCCTTGGCTGTTCACTCACTACTGAAACTCTCACACCTGGGAATGTGGACCATGATTTTTTTTAAAGATGGCGTCTGTTTACAAGAGCCCTGAGGAAGCTGATGTGAACCCCATGTAGCAACGGGAGTTTTGAATAGGTGAAAAATACAAATACCTGGAGCCGTTTAGCGCACCCCAGACTTGGGCCTGCAGGCGCGTTGCGCAGTTAAAGGGACTATCTTACTACAAAATTTCCAGGCATTTTAAGCCATATGACAACAAGTATATCTTACCTTTATTGAGGACTCTTGTTGGCATATGGAAGACAGTGAGGAAAGGGGGAGGAGGAGAGGTGTTAGTGTTTGGAAGGGGAGTTCCCTTCCATTATAACAGCAGTGATGACATTTCTGGAGTACTCTCTTATGTTTTGCATGCATATAACTAGGACCTGGTTATGGCTCACTGCTTGCCTGTCTTACTAAGTATCTGTCTATAGACACTTGCTTTTCCCTACATTTTAACACTTGTCTGTAATGAGACATCACAGTGTCTCGCTATGAATGATCTCTTGTTTTCCCTCTATTGTCATCCTCACCACTATTTTCTTTGGCTGAACTTTACCAGCAACTGTCTTGGAACTCATGGCATGATATATAATTAGAACTTTTGTGCTCAAAAACCAAAAATGCACAAAAACGATATTCTTCTCAAAGAATTCAAGTGGGGTCGTCATTAGGTGCGAGACATTGGTAAACTGAAGCGTGCCATGTCCTCGGTCGACCCATACATATATAAACAAACTCAAGCACTGAGGCAAACCTCAAGTACAGAGTAAAAATTTTTTAAGAGATTGAGCTCAAGAACCGAAAAATTGAAATGAGGGGTATTCGAGAACCAAGATTCCACTGCATATCTTTACATTGTGGTTTAGTAACTTCGGTTGCCTGTCAGTAAAGTTGGCCCATACTGTTTCTATCTGTAAAATTATATAATTGTTTCTTTTTGGCGAGGCTGGCTGTTCCTCTGACTCGCCAGTGAGAAGTTGGAACTCGAATTGGGTGCTTGGTTGTAGTTCAAAAGATAAGTTCCTGTAGTGTACCTTGTAGACTGAGGGCAAACCTTACTCATTGACTTCTGAATTTAAGTATCGTGAAGAGACATTAGTGCTAATTCTTACACTTAGCTTACACATCCTGAAATCCAAGCTGCCAAAAAACATTAGAAAGTTTACTTTTGCAAACAGTTGTATAAAGTTGAAACAAGTTGAACGAGGTGGTGGTGAAGGCCAAAACCATAAGTAGTTTCTAAGTGTCACATGAGAAAGAGGGCTGGATGATGGGACACTACGAGCATAGCTCTCATCCTGTAACCACTTGGGTAATTGTAAAATACCACTAAACTCAATATTACATCACTGCTAACCAACCCTCACATACCACTATCCAAATGTTACACTGCTGTACACCAATAACCCACTCATCCACCCACACCCCATCCCTCATTATATCACTGTGTATGTCATATTGTGCAATGTATACTGTGTTGTACATAAATATGATGAGACAGTATTTGTGTGTAAGAATAATTTTTAAATATGTGTAGGTTTTTGTATTTTTAACAGGGACAGCATTTTAAATTACTATGTCAGTATTTTTATTTTGAGATATAATAGTACAGTACTTATTGCAAATTTTGTTAGGCACAATGAAGAGGAGTGGTGGTGGTACAGTATTTGCATTATTGAAGTGTACACTATTGCATAGTTTTTTTTTTTTTTTTTTTTTTTTTTTTTTTTTTTTTTTTTTTTTTTTTTTGAGATATATATACAAGAGTTGTTACATTCTTGTACAGCCACTAGTACGAGTAGCGTTTCGGGCAAGTTCTTAATCCTATGGTCCCTGGAATACGATCCCTTGCCGCGAAGAATCGTTTTTTCATCCAAGTACACATTTTACTGTTGCGTTAAACAGAGGCTACAGTTAAGGAATTGCGCCCAGTAAATCCTCCCCGGCCAGGATACGAACCCATGACATAGCGCTCGCGGAACGCCAGGCGAGTGTCTTACCACTACACCACGGAGACTGCGTATTGTTTGTATCGAGAGTATTGCTGGCTTAGGGAACCAAGGATATTGTTCTCATGAAATGTCAGATTGTGTAATAATTCTGTAATACAGTACAGCATATTATTTTAAATCTAATAATAATCACCATTCTGTTGTTTTCAGTTGTGAGATCTGCTAAAAAAGAAACTGATCCATCGGCAGGTGAAGCAATGGAAGCATCGTCATCATCAGAAGAGAAGCAAACTAAATTAAGAGCTGAACTTGATATAAAAAAAATTATTAAAAAATTTGGTACTGCACCTAAGTGGATGCACCCACGTAAGGTTAAGAAAATTAGGAAGCAGATGGCTGTTGAGAAATCAAAGAAAAAAAATAAAAAGTAAATATACTGTACTAGTGTCTTCCTAGTCCTTAAGAGAAACTTGAAAATGCAGATTTCAAATAAATCTTGAAATCAACTTATTCCAATTATTTATATATATACCTGTACTTTATTTACTGTATTCCCTCAATTTAATGACTATATGGGTCTCTACCTTACTCTTTAATAAAATGTTGATTGTTAAATCCAATGTTAAATGCTGGTAACATTTAGAGAGAATCTTGGAACCCCAAATTATTGTCTTAAGAACATAAGAATGAATCATACGGGCTCACAATAGCCCGTGCTAATTGGAACTTGTTCAGAGTAGCTGAATCTATAACAACAATAAGAATGAAGGTAACTGCAGAAGGCCTATTAGCCATACGAGGCAGCTCCTATTATGAGGAGGATATTGCTCCCTCCAATCCATCCACACTTTTCTCCTTTCCTCCCCATCTACATACACCCCTATCAGAAATACTATACTCTTGTTTTACCCTCTCACTTGAACCCCCCTTGCCCTGCTGCCAACAAAACTGCAGATATATACTGACTCCAGGGAAAGTGGAAGGCATTGGCTTTCCGTGGGTGAGTTGTGGCAAGTAGTATGAGATAATTAAAATTTAAATTTGACTACTGTTATAAAAACAAAATCCTTGGAAAGTCTCGAGCCAGAAGACGAAACCTCATAAAGTCATTAACTTGCCTCAAATTAATTGGGAAAGTATGGTTAAATTTCTCAGCAGTGCCTGAATACGTAGTGAGCCAAATTTCTCATTTATAGTACTTTGTATGCAGTCAACATCGACTTAATTTAACCCTTTGAGCACTGGTTGCCAACTGGTAAATCTTGATTCTTCTGTGGTGAGTATCCTGATTATCTAAGGTTTAAAAAATTTCATACCTGTAAAGATTGGAATTTTTTACAGGTACTGTATGTCATTTAACACTTAATCAAGTGTGTATGCATAATTGCAGAACAAAAATCCATATAGGTAACTATATATGGATTTTTGATCTGCAATTATGCATAGACACTTGGTTAAGATTTTTTTAGGAAAGTAATACTGTGTACAAAAAATGCTAAATAATTGTCAAATATGGAAAAGTTAACTACATGTATCACTTTCAAATTTGGAAAAGTTAACTACATGTATCACAAGATTTTTGAGTGGGAGAAAGTATTTCAAGCCTATTTTATAAGTGGTGGTTTATTGTGCACCCCATACTCATTGTGTAAGTGGTGGTTTATTGTGCACCCCATACTCATCGTGTAAGTGGTGGGTTATTGTGCACCCCATACTCATCGTGTAAGTGGTGGGTTATTGTGCACCCCATACTCATCGTGTAAGTGGTGGGTTATTGTGCACCCCATACTCATCGTGTAAGTGGTGGGTTATTGTGCACCCTATACTCATCGTGTAAGGGTATCGCATGTAAAGGATTACAAAGGGCATAAATCCAAATTAGGTTTTAGCATAAATTTGTGCATAATTAAATACAATCAATGTGTGCACTTATCACATAAGCAGGTTGTACCATATTGTTTTCACTGTAACTGCTATACATGTACTTCTATCATGTGAAAACCATGTCAAAAGTGCAATAATGTATTGTTAATACATAGTGAGAGTTCAGTTTGTGAACCCATGGGTATGGGGTCATTTAAAGCCATGAGTAATAGTAGGGCGAGTATGAGGTGCATATGATCAATGACTGGTACAGGATGAGGGTACACAGGAGGAAGAGTGTGGAGGGGATGGGCAGGAGGACTGCTCCCACCACTATATTCTCTTGGACTCGGGTCCTCATGCTGCACTCTTGATATAATATATCAGCGTGTATAGTACTCAGGAGGGCGAGATTGTCTTCGTGAGGAGCCTCTCACCATCTTGAGGACGACACACATATCTGAGCGACCACGTGCCTACCGACCCCGTTATAACGAGCAAGGATGTACACGGTGGGTGCAACAACAACTTGCAACAATTGCCTGGCTGACGTACGATTACTGTCTAGGTTGTCCATATATAATTTACGGGTTTCTTTATTGACAACTTTTCTTTATAACTTCGCATACAAAAATAATAATATTAATTGCATATTTAAACATAAATGATATAAGGTATATATATTTATGTACATTACCCAATATTAGAATATAGTACTTGCACTTAAAATGTAAACTATCAAAATTACATGCGGTGTTCCTTTAAATTCCAAACATTTGTATTTATCTTAACTTTGTGGATATAGATATCCAAAATCAGGTAAGAAAAAAATAGTTAAAGCGTTGATGAGAATCTCGCAGTTAACAAGTGCATGTGAAACAAAAACAATGTGAGTGGCGGCAACTGTGGTGCCTTGATCCCGGCAGCCAGCCCCAGCCTCAGTGACCACCCCGCCGCCGTGGTGTAGTGACGCACGCTCCTCCTCCACTCTGGCGTCCTGGCCTTACCACTGTACACCACAACCTCCCACAACCCTTGGCCTCACACACAACTAGTCCAGTGGTTGTGGCGGCGCGTGTGGCCAGGAGTGGGAGGTCATAACCCCAGAGCTGAGGCCAGTCGTCCTCAAGGAGGGGAAGCTGTGTGCTCCTTAGTTAACCAGGCATTTTGAAGTTAGGTGGTAGTAGAAGCGTGAGTTATGTACAGCAAAGTGCGGAGAAAGTCGCCGCCAGCACTTGTGGGCCCACACACTCTTGAGGTAAGTGTTAAGGCCGCCTTCTAATACCTTATAACAAGGCTCTTAATTGTTTCTTATGTCACACCTCACTCTATACTTCTTGACTTGTTCCTCTCCCGGCCACGCCTCGCACCCGCTCCCGGTACCGGGGTGTTGTCCTGTGAGTACTGGGTACCGGGGTGTTGTCCTGTGAGTACTGGGTACTGGGGTGTTGTCCTGTGAGTACTGGGTACTGGGGTGTTGTCCTGTGAGTACTGGGTACTGGGGTGTTGTCCTGTGAGTACTGGGTACTGGGGTGTTGTCCTGTGAGTACTGGGTACCGGGGTGTTGTCCTGTGAGTACTGGGTACCGGGGTGTTGTCCTGTGAGTACTGGGTACTGGGGTGTTATCCTGTGAGTACTGGGTACCGGGGTGTTGTCCTGTGAGTACTGGGTACTGGGGTGTTATCCTGTGAGTACTGGGTACTGGGGTGTTATCCTGTGAGTACTGGGTACTGGGGTGTTGTCCTGTGAGTACTGGGTACCGGGGTGTTGTCCTGTGAGTACTGGGTACTGGGGTGTTGTCCTGTGAGTACTGGGTACTGGGGTGTTGTCCTGTGAGTACTGGGTACTGGGGTGTTATCCTGTGAGTACTGGGTACTGGGGTGTTATCCTGTGAGTACTGGGTACTGGGGTGTTGTCCTGTGAGTACTGGGTACCGGGGTGTTGTCCTGTGAGTACTGGGTACCGGGGTGTTGTCCTGTGAGTACTGGGTACTGGGGTGTTGTCCTGTGAGTACTGGGTACTGGGGTGTTGTCCTGTGAGTACTGGGTACTGGGGTGTTGTCCTGTGAGTACTGGGTACTGGGGTGTTGTCCTGTGAGTACTGGGTACTGGGGTGTTGTCCTGTGAGTACTGGGTACTGGGGTGTTGTCCTGTGAGTACTGGGTACTGGGGTGTTGTCCTGTGAGTACTGGGTACTGGGGTGTTGTCCTGTGAGTACTGGGTACTGGGGTGTTGTCCTGTGAGTACTGGGTACCGGGGTGTTATCCTGTGAGTACTGGGTACTGGGGTGTTATCCTGTGAGTACTGGGGTGTTGTCCTGTGGGTACTGGGGTGTTATCCTGTGAGTACTGGGTACTGGGGTGTTATCCTGTGAGTACTGGGTACTAGGGTGTTATCCTGTGAGTACTGGGTACTGGGGTGTTGTCCTGTGAGTACTGGGTACTAGGGTGTTATCCTGTGAGGGTTATCCTGTGAGTACTGGGTACTGGGGTGTTATCCTGTGAGTACTGGGTACTGGGGTGTTATCCTGTGAGTACTGGGTACTGGGGTGTTATCCTGTGAGTACTGGGTACTGGGGTGTTATCCTGTGAGTACTGGGTACTGGGGTGTTATCCTGTGAGTACTGGGTACTGGGGTGTTATCCTGTGAGTACTGGGTACTGGGGTGTTATCCTGTGAGTACTGGGTACTGGGGTGTTATCCTGTGAGTACTGGGTACTGGGGTGTTATCCTGTGAGTACTGGGTACCGGGGTGTTGTCCTGTGAGTACTGGGTACTGGGGTGTTATCCTGTGAGTACTGGGTACTGGGGTGTTATCCTGTGAGTACTGGGTACTGGGGTGTTATCCTGTGAGTACTGGGTACTGGGGTGTTATCCTGTGAGTACTGGGTACCGGGGTGTTATCCTGTGAGTACTGGGTACCGGGGTGTTATCCTGTGAGTACTGGGTACTGGGGTGTTATCCTGTGAGTACTGGGTACTAGGGTGTTATCCTGTGAGTACTGGGTACTGGGGTGTTATCCTGTGAGGGTTATCCTGTGAGTACTGGGTACTGGGGTGTTATCCTGTGAGGGTTATCCTGTGAGTACTGGGTACTGGGGTGTTATCCTGTGAGTACTGGGTACTAGGGTGTTATCCTGTGAGTACTGGGTACTGGGGTGTTATCCTGTGAGTACTGTGTACTGGGGTGTTATCCTGTGAGTACTGGGGTGTTGTCCTGTGAGTACTGGGTACTGGGGTGTTGTCCTGTGAGTACTGGGTACTGGGGTGTTATCCTGTGAGTACTGGGTACTGGGGTGTTATCCTGTGAGTACTGGGTACTGGGGTGTTATCCTGTGAGTACTGGGTACTGGGGTGTTATCCTGTGAGTACTGGGTACTGGGGTGTTGTCCTGTGAGTACTGGGGTGTTGTCCTGTGGGTACTGGGGTGTTATCCTGTGAGTACTGGGTACTGGGGTGTTATCCTGTGAGTACTGGGTACCGGGGTGTTGTGGTCCCGTGAGTACTGGGTACCGGGGTGTTGTGGTCCCGTGAGTACTGGGTACCGGGGTGTTGAGGTACCCTTGATGTGGTACCGTGGTGGGGAAGAGCAGCAGGGAGAGTAAGAGTGGAGGGCAGAGTCCCAGGGGAGTGTGGCGGCCGGTACCCTTACCCCAGTTTCCTCTTCCTTGTTATTCGGCCTTTGAGAGCATGAGAGCGGGAAGTGTGTGAGCGTAATTATGTCTGGCAGCAGCAGCGTGTACCGCGTGTTTTTGTTGATGGTTTACTGCAGTACTGCTGTGTGTGGTCAAGGCTGCCCCCGCTCACTCCTCCCACTCTGTGTACTCGCTCCACGAGAACTCTACAATGGGAAACTTTTTGTCCGATTTGTAACACTGGTTTCACAAACGTTGCCCGGGCGCCTTGGGTTGGCCACGCCGCCCGCGTCCGCCCACGCCCGCCCCATCTATCTAATAATGAACTAATTATGACATCCTCACGTTGGTTAAAGAGGAAACTGTCTCCCGAAATACATTACATGGAAGCTTATACGGTTTTGTATTTAACAGATTTTATCATAAATTAATAAAAACAACAATGACTGTTTCCAAGGTAGTTTCTAATATTATTTTGTTTCGTATAGATTTTCTCACACATATACACGGTGTAGCAATGGGAGAGGATATCCTCTTAGAATCAGGCAGGGATAAAGGTTTATGAATTGCTATCACACCTGTAACAGCCCAGCTATTTGTTAAATTAAACTTTGAATTTTTGAACAGTTTTGAATAAGTAAGGACATTTATGAACATTTCCTTAAAACAGTGTTCAATCCCTGGGAAGGACAATAACGGTTGACAGTTAACCTCTCACAGTATATACTCGAATGTTCTAAACTTTCTAACAAATGTGACCTAACATAAGCCTACCCTTCCTTTTATCCTTATTCTCCTTTTTCAATCTCTTTTTTTTCTCTTACGATCCCTTTCTTATTCCGATTATTACCCCCCTTATTACACCTTACCTTCCGTATCTGTTGCCTTGCTTCTTCTTCCTCTGAGATTTCCTTCTTCTCACATCTCTCTCTTGCCTATTTATTGCCATTGCCTCCTTCCACTCCTCACCGCTCCCGTGCCAGGTAAGTTCACTACGGGCTCACCATAGCCCGTGCTACTTGCCTCGCTCCTGTGCCAGGTAAGTTAAGGGCTCACCATAGCCCGTGCGGCTTGGAACTTGTTCGAGTAGCTGAATCTATAACAACATTCCACTCTTCACAATCTCCTTGATAATGGTCCTGGACGGACCGAAACGTCGTCGTCTCTTCACTTTCTAGTGTGTAGTCTGGTCAACATAACGGTTGAGCACATTTTCTTTCATGTGATGCGTCTGTTTACCTAGCAGTTAAGAAGGCACCCGGGAGCTAGACAATTGTTGTGGGTTACATCCTGGGAAGTCACTGTTGGCCTGGGAAGACCTCAGTAAACCTAAGACTTGCTGGGCCTCATCTTACGAACATTAAGGTAGTTGTGGGAGCTGCCATACACGAGTCTCGGTCAAATGGTGAGAGTAGTGAGCCATGTTAGTGGAGTACATGATGGGTGTCGAGGCTTCCCAACACTGTTTCACGGTGTACACTCACTCTCACCATATTCACAGGCAGCCGTAACATCCACCTCTTGCCTTTGATATACTTTCCAAGATTGGCGACCTTTTATAATGCCGTCTGTTTGATCACTAAACACATGTTAGAGTATAAATCCGACCCATCTCTTATTGTCCAAGTCCATCCTCATTTGTCCAAGTTCACGAAGGAAACTTGGACAAATGCGGAAGGGGAAGGTGCAAGTGGGAAGGGGGAAGAACAAATTGGGTTCGGAAGACAAATGATTCTTCCGAACACTGTATTATAACCTCTTCGACACCGACACGTAAGTAGCCTACGATGTCCCGGCATGGAACCCCTACGTAAGGAAACAAAGCAAGACCAGGAAAGGTCTAAAGATATGTAACAAGGCTGGATCTTGAGCCAAGAAGTTAGACCGAGTGAACTGAAACTGTGCCTTACCTTTCTCCAGTGTGCTAAGGATAAGGTCACCCACTTATTCACTCTCACTGTCTCTCATGCATGTTCACTCATTCACACTCTCTCTCTACTACTACTACTACTGCTGCTGACATTATTCTTATTATTATTATTATTATTATTATTAGTTGTAGTATTATAAGTACTAGTTCAATTAGGATTTAAAGATTAAGATCCGGACTTGACGAGGAGGTGTCCTGAGCAGGCAGTTGACCTACATATAGAGGGCAGTGTCGTCGCCAACCTGCAACTGGTGGTGATACACGTCACAATGTCAACAAACATCCTTGTCTGACAGCTGCAATACCCACCCAACCTTTTTTATCCAAGGGTTAATAATAATCATATATTCAATGATAGTATAATAATATATCATATTATGTGTGTTAGCCAATATGTAAATAGAAGAATGGTATTAGTGACCTTTATGTGTAACTAAAGAGCAAGTGTTCTTGCTGACTAGTGACCGGGGGGAGGACATGTCTCCCCACCCAGGGGGGGGATGTCTCCCCACCCAACCAGTGACCGGGGGGACAAGTCTCCCCACCCAACTAGTGACTGGGGACACATGTCTCCCCACCCAACCAGTGACCGGGGGGACATGTCTCCCCACCCAACCAGTGACCGGGGGGACATGTCTCCCCACCCAACCAGTGACCGGGGGGACATGTCTCCCCACCCAACCAGTGACCGGGGGG